GATCTATAGCCTGAAAATTTCATAGCCGCTGTTCTGTTTTAATTCTGACTGGTGTTTGTGGTTAATTAAGCGTCACTGGCCCAGTGGATAGTGCGTGAGACTCATCTCTTGGTCGCAATTGGTCGGATTAAAACCCCTTATTAGACAAGCACAGCTTGTGTGACAGTATGAACTCTTTTTATTTCCAACCTAATAAGTCGCACAGATTATTGCGACGCAAAAATTGTTGCGACAAAATTGCGAAGGTAAACAAGCTTGTATGATAAAATCATCGACAATCAGCAACTTATATTCTCTAATTACCAAGCGATTGACATACGCATACCATTTCGCGACGAACTGCCCTGCAGTAGTGCAACAAGGAAAGTAATATACTAGAACATGGTCAACGATAGGTTCCGCAGGCAGCTTTAAGATAAAGGTTTTGTTTCATCTTTTTCCTCGTACGAGCGTTAGTGTATCATTACGGACCTTTTTTTCTAACCGAACTCGCAAACAAAATTGTCCAGTAAAAGTGTTCACTTATTTGGTGGCACTTTGGCTGTAAACACGATCTTCAGCCTGAAAGTTTCATAACATCGGTACTGTTTTAATTCCTACTAGTGTTTGTAGTTAAATAAGCGTATGAAGTGCAATGGACAGTGCGTGAGACTCATTTCTTGGTTGCGATCGGTCGGATTAAAAACTCTTATTACACCAGCAAAGCTTGTGTGACAGTATGAACTCTCTATTTTCCAACCTAAGTTGCAAAGATTGTTGCGTCGCAAAAATTCTTGCGACAAAATTGCGAAAGTAGACAAAGATTGTATGATTAAATCATCGACAATCAGCAACTTTTTTTTATCTTATTTCTAAGCGCTTGACAAATGCATGCAAACTTCGCGACGAACTGCCGTGCAGTAGTGCAACAAGGTGAATAATATACTGGAACATGATTCCCGACAGGTTTCTAAGAGAGCTTGAAGATAAAAGTACTGTTTCATCTGTTTACTCTTACGAGAGTTAGTGTATTAGTACGAGCCTTCTTTTTTTTCTAACCTAAATCGCAAATAAAATTGATCAAAAAAATTGTTCACTTGTTTGATGACACTTTGGCTGTTATCTTGGTCTGTAGTCTGAAAATTTCATAGCATCTGTTGTTTTAATTCTGGCTAGTGTTTTTTCATAATTAAGCATCTGTGGCCCGGTGAATGGTGCATGAGACTCATCTCTGGGTCGCGATCTATTGGATAAAACCCTTCATTACATTAGCAAAGCTTCTATGGCAGTATGACCTCACTTTTTTTTGTAAGTTCAGTCGCAAATTTTGTTGCGACGCAAATATTGTTGCGACAAAATTGCGAAGGTAGATAAAAGATTGAATGATTAAATCATCGACAATCAGCCACGTTTTTTTTGGATCTAATTTCCAAGCGATCGACATATGGATACTAACTTCACGACGAACTGCCCTTCAGTTGTGCAACAAGAAAACTAAAGTATAAGAACATGTCAACCGTCAGTTTACTCAGGTAGCTTAAAGATTGAGGTTTGTTTCATCTGTTCACTCTTCCGAGCGGTTAATGTATTAGTACTAACCTTCTTTTTTTCTTACCTAACTCGCAAATAAAAATGCACTTTAAAGGTGTCCACTTATTTGGTGGCACATCGGATGTAAACACGATCTGTAGCCTCAAAAGTTTCATAGCATCTGTTCTGTTTTGTTTCTGGCTGGTGTTTGTGCTTTATTCAGAGTCCGTGGCTCATTGGTTAGTGTGTGAGATTTATAATATCTGTCGCAGATGGAATCAGAGACGTAGCCGAATATTTTGGTTATTCCATCCTCATTTATACTTTTTATTATTGACTTTTATAGAGCTGCTTTTTTGTCGTGTTTTTGCATGTTTGCGAAGCACAGCTTCGACTCTGTAAAAAAGATGTATGTCTGTTTTTGTTCCGACCATTGAAATTAGGGAGGAACTTTAGATTCGGGTGTGTTTATTTTTTTTGTTTTCTGCTACGCAAAATCAGCTACCACAAATAATAATGGGACATGGTTGAATGATATATCGTATTATAGCTCTTTCAGTCGTGATTCGAAAGACATTAAAAAAACTGTCGAGAAAAACCGGTTTGAAATTTTTGATTTATAGTCTAATTTCGAGCTAATTAGTAAGGTAGTTAGTAATTGCAATAGCCTATTAAATTAAGCCGTGAAATTGAAGTGTTACTGAAGAAAAAATAGTGTTTGGAGTTTGGGAATCAATTTTAGGAATCAAAAACTTGAAAATTTCTGGTAATTTTTCTTCAAAAACTTTTCCAATCGACCTATTTTACTATGACTCTCAATTATGCCCAAGTTCTATTTTTGCGTTTAGTTTTTTCTCACATGCAAAAAAACGACATCAATTCGAAAAAACGTTTTTGTATTTTCTATTTTTGCGTTTAGTTTTTTCTCACATGCAAAAAAACGACATCAATTCGAAAAAACGTTTTTGTATTTTTTAAAGAGTGGTCGGAACATTCTGTGCCCTTTGCACAGTAACCGGCTATCCTTGTTATTTTAAGTTTTTTACTTTCTCGACTCAGAGAATCGATCAGAGAACCGATTTTTTCACGGCTGAAAGGAGGATACAACATTCGAACCATTTGGATGATTATGCTCGCGATTAGTTACGCTTGCGATTAACGAGCGTTATCAAACTGGAAATTATACTTTTTTCTAGTTAACTAGTTTAACAAAATCAGTTGAATCGTTTGCTGACTATGCAGCTGACTTATTTTCTCTTCTCTTAACATCTTCCTGGTTGCTTCCTTCTTAGCCTAGAGGTAAATCAGTTGCCTTTGTACCCTAAGGTCCGGAGTTCGAGTCGTGGCCGGACCCGGTTTTTTCAGTATCTAGGAAATTGTAAAAAATGATCAGAGAAAAATGAATTGCTGATTTTCGTTTGTTCGCTCAAGTTTTGTCGGCTAAATTACCACCACGGATTTTGCTTGTGCTGCAAACGATTTTCATTGTAGTTGCAACTGCAAGTGTTTTTTGTTGTAATCTCTTTTTCGTTGTAATCATATTATAGCTCTTTCAGTCGTGATTCGAAAGACATTAAAAAGTTTTGAAAAAATTTTCACTGTCGAGAAAAACCGGTTTGAAATTTTTGATTTTTAGTCTAATTTCGGGCTAGTTAGTAAGGTAGTTAGTAATTGCAATCGCCTATAAAAGCTTAAATCAGGCCGTGAAACTGAAGTGTTACTGAAGAAAAGGCAGTGTTTAGAGTTTGGGAATCCATTTTGGGAATCAAAAACTTGAAAATTTCTGGTAGTTTTCCTTCAAAAACTTTTCCAATTGACCTATTTTACTATGACTATCAATTATGCCCAAGTTCTCTTTTTTCGTTTAAATTTTTTCTCACAACATGCAGAAAAAAAACGACATCAATTCGAGAAAACGTTTTTGTATTTTTTAAAGACTGTTCGGAACATTCTGTGCTACTTGCATAGTAACCGGCTATCCTTGATCTTTCAAGTTTTTCTTTACTTTCTCGACTCAGAGAATCGATTTTTTCACGGCTGAAAGGAGGATACAACATGCGAACCATTCGGATGATTATGCTTGCGATTAGTTACGCTCGCGATTAACGAGCGTTATCAAACTGGAAGTTGGACTTTTTTCTAGTTAACCTGTTTAACAAAATCAGTTGAATCACTTGCTGACTATGCAGCTGACTTCTTTTCTCTTCTCTTAACATCTTCCTGGTTGCTTCCTTCTTGGCCTAGAGGTAAATCAGTTGACTTCGTACCCTATGGTTAGGGGTTCGAGTCGTGGCCGGACCCGCTTTTTTCAGTATCAAGGAAATTGAAAAAATTGATCAGAGAAAAATGAATTGCTGATTTTTCGTTTGTTCGCTCAAGTTTGTCGGCTGATTTACCACCACGGATTTTGCTTGTGCTGTAGACGATTTTCATTGTAGTTGCAAGTGCAAGTGTTGTTTGTTGTATTTTCAGGGGTGAATTGAAAGATTTTAAATTTTTTTTTTCGGCTTTTTATGTTGTTTTATCGATAGTGGTGCTAAGCTTCGCTTCGCCTCTGTGTTATTTGTGGTTTCTTATTTAGCTTGGAAAGCAAAAAAAAATAAAACGCATTTGAAGACAAAAACACTTCTCCATTTTCAATTGTCGGAAAGAGAATCACACCACTAAAAGAAGGTTCCTATTTTAATTTTAACCATCTTAATCCAAACTTAATTTTTTGTTCCGATTATTTTAAGTGCCAATGAACGAGGTGAACATCGGATGTCAATGAACGAAGTTTTTCAGGTCCAGTGATTTTTTCAATAAAGATTTGATCACGCTCAAAATTGACTTTTGATTTTTCGTAAGTTCAATTCGAATTCATTTGCTTAAAGCAGAGCATATAAGCTCTTCGATAGATTTTTCAGTGGAATAAAAATTTGCCTGATGACCCAGTTTTCTCTTGTTGGGTTTGTTGTAGTGCACTAGCTAGCTAGCGAGCGTAGTGTATTAGTTTAACTCTGCTTTTTCAGACCTAAATTGCAAATAAAAGTGCTCATTTGGTGGAACTTTTGCTATAATCACGATCCGTAGCATTGGTGAAATTTTCATAGCATCCGTTCTCTGCTTTACTTGTTGCTATTGTTTGCCGATTGTTAAGCGTCCGTGGCTGAGAGAGAAGGACGTGAAACTCCAAACTTCGAGGTCGCTTTAGTTTTTTTCTTTTTAGAACTGTTTTTTAATCTTTTTCTCGCAAGTGTTCGTGAACCGCAGCCTCACCACTATGTGAGAAAAGTGTAAATCATAAAAGATTCTTGAAATTCAAAGACCTTCAACTGTATATATTTTTTTAATCCAGAATTCGAAAGTATATATTTTTAAAATATTCAAAAAATCTATCTTTTTTTCTGTTCTGATGAGTTAAATGATATTTTTATTACTGTCTTTTGGCTATGTTTATTTTTTATTATTTGCCCTGATGCTTAATGCATCTTGTGTTGTTTTTGTTTCAGACAGATAAAAGAATTGAAGACGACAATGTCACCCCCCGAAAGAAACCAAAATTAGATAGAACTGAAAGTACGTATATAATGGAACTAATAGATTACCAAAACTACCATTAATTGCAAAAATGGGCCGGCTGAGCGCAACAAATGTTGGTTAATTCGTTTCAGATATAGTTCATTCTCCTTCACCGCACAAAATCAGACCAATATTTAAAGTACACGTCTCTAATTTGGACCCCCAAGTCACCGACACTGACATCCAGGACCTGTTCTCCGATTTCGGTGTGATGAAATTCCATGCCGTGCACTACTCAAAGGACTGTGTCTCTCTGTGTTCTGCGGAGGTGCACTATAGTTCCAAGCAGGCTGTGGAAGCAGTGGTTAAGCAGTACAACGGTGTTCCCTTGGACGGATGGCCGCTATGTTTAGCTTCAATTAACCAAGCTGGCGGTAAGATAATTGCATGTCTTTTATTATCGTCTTTTGCTTTAAAATTGGCATTGGCTTTGTTTGCTTGGCCACAAGATATTCCGTTAACTTGAAAACCATATTTACGCTTGCGATTAGGAAGCATTATCAAATCGGAATGTAGACTTTTTTCTGGTTAACAACTAGTTAAACAAAATCAGTGATTCATGATGCTATGAGATGCTCAATTTCTTGAAAATGATTTTTTTTTCATGAAAATTCAGTTAAGCTTCTGGGTCGTTTTAGTTCGGTAGTTTCAGGGGAGTTGAAACTTTCAGGAGGAGTTGAAACAAAAGCAGTTTTTTTCCGGCTTAAATGGTGTCTGCTCAAAGATTGTCGGCCTTGTTTCCGCTTCGTAATTTGTGTTTAGTTGCATATTTAAAATTCAAATGTCTTGCTTGACCTGTTTTTTTTTCAGTGCCCCTGTTTGATAAAAACTGGTATTTACACCAGCAAAGCTTGTGTGATAGTATGAACTTTCTTTTTTTCCAACCTAAGACGGAAATATTGTTGCGACAAAATGTATTCATTTTGAAAGTGCTCCGTTTGATCAATAACCAGCTATTAGGTACAGCCAATGCTAAGGATATTAACACAGACTATTATGTTACAAGTAGCACTTTAGCTTCATAGTAATAGGAACCTGTAGCGTAGGGGCAGGGAAGGAAATCCGCAACAAATCTAAGATTTTGGTTTCAATGAATAGAATGGATTTGAAAAGCTCCCCTCGACAAGTGGATACGTCCAAACTTTTTTTTACAAATGAAGTTATGGCCCTCGAATTTGTCAATATTTTGATTTATAAAACCGTTTTCTGAATCTGTTTTAACTTTTCTGGAAAACTAACCTCCCAAACATGAGGTTGTGCGTTCAATGGAGGTAACGGGTAATGGGAAGGTCTCCTGCATTAGCGGCCACTGTAAAAATTTTTTACCTAAAAAACTATGGACCTCGGCAAAGTCAAATTTTTGATTTCTTGAACATTTTTTGACTTTTCTCGAGAACTACCCTGCCAAACCTGAGTTTTTGTGTTCCATCGAAATTACAGGTCGGGTGAATCTATTCTGCAGAAGCGGCTACTCCTTATTTTTTTTGTTAGGGAAAGGTTGCGTCTTCGAGAAAATTCCAAATTCTCAAAAGTTTTCACTCTTCTCATTTTAGTATAGAAACAACTAAGGTTCTGGGCAAAGTGCAATTTTTGAAATTACGCGTTTCGTCCCGCATTAGTATAACAAACTCAAAAAAAATATCACACATGTACCACCAGCTTTAGCTGGGCCCTAGGTGTCCTTCCTGGAGACATACGGAAATTTCTCATACCAAAAGTTTTTATGATTGTGTTGTATCGCAAGTGGTGCGAAGCTCCGCTTCGCCTCTGTGTTAATTTAAACGATTCGCAAAATTTTGCTGTTCAGGAGACTTTTGCTGTTTAGTTCCTTTTTTTCGTAATCTATCCAAAAAATGTTATTTCTGAAAAGGCAGGCCTGGTTTCAGCAGTGTACATTTTTTTGAAATCTTTTTTGTTTCCGTCAGAAATTCCTGTCCAAGATTCTTCTGAAGTTACAACACTGACCAAAGTGCACGTGTCTAATGTGGGACCAGAGATATCAGACGACCGTCTTTCTGATTTATTCTCGGCAGTTGGTGGGACGAAAAGATGTGTGGTGCATCATACAGCTTCAGGGAAATCACTTGGTTTGTTCGAGCTTATTAACTTTGGATGTTCACTTTGATAGCAATTGAACACAACAGAATAATGGATGATATTTAAAATAAGTGCACATCAAACATAGTTTTTTTTCCAAAAACCTACATGAATCTCAGCTTAAGAATGTTTCTCGCGTTTTCCTATATATTTCATTATTTCTCGCTGTTCTATCTTGGTGTTTTTTAGGAACTGGTGAAGTCGCTTTCGAAACATTGACTCAAGCTGCCGAAGCAATCAAGAAATTCGACCATACTGCTTTGGAGGGTTGGCCCCTAAGATTGGCAATCATAGGCCATTCAGCCAGTGCAGATAGCTAAACTGGCCTTCTCATGAACTCTCCAAGATTAAGTTTTGATTATTTGCGTTTGTTTGTGATTTTTTAAGTGAAAGTAGTGGGTTTCAATTGTGATGTTAGTTTCACAAGTTTTATTTAATAAATTGTGTAGAAATGCATTTTCAAAGTTTAGACACCTCAATATCTTTGTCTGATGAAAGTACACGAAACCGATTTTTTTTTTCAAAAAGTCTTGAAATTTCACACTCAAGTTTCATCTTTGAGTCAATGAACGTAGCGAAGTCTCTTATATAAGTCGTGGTCATTTTTTCAGGAAAAATTCTTGAAATTTATTTACGCTCACATTTGACTTTTCGCGGTTTGGCTTTTGAAGTTCAGTTCATTTCCTGTGTTAACTCCACTATCGAACAGCAAAAGTGTAAAGGTCTTGAAAAATGTGATTGACTTCTAGTTTCGAAGGTAGATTTTAGTTCAATCATTTTAGGTAAATCATAAATTGTTCTTGAAATTCAATGAGCTATAAGGCCATAGATATTTTTTTTTGAAATTTCATCCTGCGTGTTTGTATTTTCTTCGAAATTTCTTCCTTAGTTTCTATTTTCTTGCGTTCATTGACTCTTTTTCAACTTTGTTCGCTATATTTGATTTCTTTTGTAAACTCCGCTATCGGAAAACTCCGCTATCGAATATGCTATTTTTGATTTCTTTTGTAAACTCCGCTATTGGAGAACGCCGCTTTCCAATGGTGTAAAAACATTACTGATTTGAGTTTTCAATTTTTTTTTTCAGAAAAAATCAGTCGTAAAAGATTCGTAATTTATAAATTTCGAAGAGCTTCAGCTGTATATATAATTTTTGAAACTGGAAAGGTTAAAATATTGAAAAAAGCCAAGATGGATGGATGTTAGATGGATCATGTTAATTGTTAGATGGATCCTTGTAGAGAGCCTTATCGTTTGATTATTACGGCATTCTTTTTGATCGACTAATTTCATAGTTGACCATGGTTTCAGCGTCAATCAAATTTAACACGCTTAAAAGAAGAAGCAAAATTTTTACCGAAAATTTCTTTTAATTTTTCCGGTTTATGTTGCCTTTTTCCTCTTATACAAGATGAAGGGAAAAAAATTGAACAAGAAAATGAAAAGAGCGCTTTTCTATATAAATTTCAAATCTGGATATTAGTTTTTAGATTAAAATTAATTTGTTAAAGCTGTGGCGGTTTAGTTTCTGAGTTTTACATTACATATTACATGCGTTTTTTTTCCCGCGCAAAATCAGATATTTAAAAACATTATCAGACGAGTCATAAATCATATTAAAGCACTTTCCTGAATCAATCGACAAAAAGTTCAAGTTTTGTATTTCTACGAGGGGGTGGGAAACTGAGAAAGACTGTGTGGGCCCTTTTTTCTGTATTTTTAAGCTTTTTTGCCGTTTTTTCGCTTGTGTTGGGGAAGTGCAGCTTCTTTTCTGCAATGCAATATGAAGTTTTCAGATCGTGAATGCTCAGGAAAGCCATTGCTGCAAACCCGTGAGTTGAAAATAGGTTGAAAAAGTTTCATCTTACAGAATCTGAGTACGGACTGAAAATCTTTCCTAAGATATATTGTTCTTCCGGGCTCACCTAATTTAAAATAGGACGCACTGAAAATGGAAGAAGTGTTCACGGTTTCATTCGAAATCATTATCCCTAGCCGTAATCAATTAAGGATAGTTTGAAGCTTAAATTTTTTTTGGATTTTTGTTATACCTTTTTGAGCGTAATTGCCTGATTAAGAAATTTAAAAAATTGAGGACGATTTATGACTTCAGTCCCGTTAAACGTCATTTCAGTTTTAAAAAGTAGAATTTGGTGAGGATCTTTTGGAAGCCTATTTTATACGTTTATAAAACAATTCATTAAATCTGCTCTGCTCAATCCGTATCTATTCTTAACAATTGATTGGAATGAAAATTGTTGCTAGATGCCAAGTTCAATTTGACTTGGCAATCGTTTTCTCTTTAAGAACCATTAAATGTAATATCGAATTCAAGTTTTTCGTTAATTTTGTTTCCTCTTGTACTATCACTTGTATTAACAAATTTTTTTGCAATGACAAGGACATTTTTAATTTTTGGTTTGAAGTTAATTTTCCTGCTTTTCACGGTGAAATGCGAAACAGAAAGATTGGGTAAGTTTTCTACGTTGTCCTCACTTTTCCAGGAAAGTAGAAAAAATAAATGGGAGGTAATGTTACCTCAAAATTAATAAAATAATTGGTTTCAATGCTCGAACGAACCAACCGTTAATAGCAGCCAAAATATACCTGAAAATTTTTTAAAAAATACCCAGTGAGCGAGCGAATAATGAAAGATTATTGTAGTTCATTTGTTTCAAAGTGAAAATCACTCATGAATACGCTTAAAAGAGAAATAATTGCCTTTTTGAGCAACTATTTTTTGCGACAAATTTATGTCATTCTGGCTTTTCATAAGGGTTTCGAGCCTGGCGTTTGCCTTTTGTTTTTCATTTTTTTCCCGATGTAGGCGAATCTAGTTAGAATCAAGTTACAACAAGGTGCATCGGCGTTTGTGGCGTTGTGACGCATCGGTAGTGAGTGGCGCCTTGGTAGTGATGGTGCCCAGCAATCATATAATTTCGGGTTCTAATCGCACTTGCGCTGCAATTTACAAGGTGAGCTCTTGTAAAATAGCTATAGCTTAGTTAACCTTAAATAATTAACCTTCGAGTTAGGCCTCTGGCTGGTTAAATTATAATTTTAAAGTAGGATCATTATAGAGAGCCTGACGGTTTATTACGGCATTCTCGTTGATCGCTTGACTTCATAGTTACCGCACAAGTTTCGTTTCAGACTCAATCAAATTTGAATTAACACGCTTAAACAGAAGAAGCCAGACTGTTACCAAAAATTTCTCCTAATTAGGGTTCCGGCTGCAATCTGAATCAGTTTATCAGTTACCTCACCAGACCAGGTACAGATTGAAATAAACGTCAGATGGGTCTGAGTGGTATATCATATTTAAGCCTTTCTAATCATGCTTCGATCGAAATGAAAAAATTGTGCGGAGATCTATTTTTAACATCTTGATTTTTAAGTTTAATTTTCGCGATAAAAGGAATAAGTATAAGCTATAAAAATGAATGGTGAAATTCAAATGAGCAGTTTTTGAATCTTGAATTAGCAGAATTTAGTAAAATTGGATCCTCCAATAGGATCATTCTGAGCTAGATGTATAGGAAACAGCTATTCTTTTTTAAAAGTGTATTTGCTCCATTATGTCTAGGCTTGCAATTAGCAAACGCTATCAAATCAGAATATAGACTATTTCCTAGCAAGCAACTTATCTAACAAAATCACTGAATCATTTTTTCATCTGAACTTTTTCATCTGAATTTTTATTGAGTTTTGCTTTTAGTTACTGTTACACAAGCAAAGTTTGTGTTATAGTATGAACTATCTTTTTTCCAACCAAAATAGTATTGTAAGCAAATATTTTTGCGACAAAATGTGTTCATTTTGAAAGTGTTCATTTTGATCAATAACCAGCTATTAAGTACTGCCAATGCTAAGGATAATAACACAGACTATTATTGTTCCGACTTTCGTAGCGAAAGTAGCGAAATATTTGTGCTTTGGTGGTTTTTTCTTTAGACAAATTTCGACTTTTTATCTAGCCAGATTTGACGGGATTTTTTATCATTCAAAAAGTAGTGTTGTCCTGAGCTTAAATTTGGAAAGATTTTTCACCTCTGATATTTTTTTGTAAAGTTATGGGAGTTTAAAATTGACCTAATTTCGGGTCGTTTTAAACGAAACACAATTTTAACGCTACCCTCCCATTTTTTCAAGTTGGTTGCTTGTTTACCGATCGGTTTTTAGTTTTATAATTTTTCCCGGAAATTTAAGTTTTTCTCAGAAACTTCTATTGTTTTTCAAAGAAAGGTATCAATTTACAGACCGCCTGTTCCCCTGTGTGCATGTATATTCCCCGAGTCTCTTTTTACTTGACCTCTCTGCCTACAGCTTTCAAAAATGTCTGTGGGGGAATATTTGAGCCATATTTTATAAAAAAAAAATTCGTATTGGCGAGTTTTTGGTTTCAATGAATAGAGCGTTTTTGAAAAGCTCCATACATAAATGGCTATGCCCAAACATAAATTTATGGCCTTCGGAATAGTCAAATATTTGATTGTTTTTGAAGTTTTTGACTTTTCTCGAAAACTACCCCTCTCAACAAATCTTAGTTTTTGGTTTCGTTGAAAAGAACAGCGGTTCGAGAAAAGCTCCTGCATAAGCGGCTACGACCAAATGTTTTGAAACATTAAGTTTCAAAATATTTCCGAATAGTTTGTCCTATTATATTTGTACTGTATCGCAAGTGGTGCAAAGCTTCGCTTCCACTCTATGAAAAAAAAAAGATTTTTTTGTCTTGCAATTTATGATAGTTTTTCGTTCTGCCGGACAGTTGAATTCCTGGACTACTGTGGCGTACGCAGTGGTAAGAAGCAGGCCGTGGAGATGATCTTGGAGGACGGATTGGCAGCTGGCAACAGTGCATTCCAGTGTTGTGTGTACATGCATGCAGCTCACTCCAGCCAACGACTGCTCATCTCATTCCGGAAGATACTCCTGGACACCGCAGGTGGCACAAACGGAGTAATAAGCGGTAAGAGAGAGAGAGAGAGAGAGAGAGAGAGAGAGAGAGGGAGAGAAGAGAAAAGAAAAGAGAAGAGAAGAGAGAGAAGGAGAAGAATAAATGTATAGTAATTTAGAAGCTAGGCCGGAGAAGCAATCAATTATCTTCTGCTGCAAATGTCAAATCATTCAACTTTACTCCTTTGAAAATAACCAATTCAGTGCACATGGAAACATGAAGAGATCGTTCATTTCGTGTTTTAGAAGACGAGGCGACTCTTGCGACTACCAACTGGTGTGATCAAGCTGGCTGTGGGGCCAAACTCAGGCTTCAATTTAACTTCACATCCTCATTAAGTCAACTATTTTCTGGCGCTCTTAACGTTGGCATGTGACATTTTATCTGAAATGAAATATGCAAGTAATTGGCCACCAGCTTGTTAAAGTAAGACGAAAAAAAACTTTAAGGACCAAAATATTTAACCAAGAATCTCGATTAATTGTAAAGAAAACTAAGTCCAGTCAAAATTAAAATAAGTTATGATGGTTCTCAAACCGTTTTCAGTCACCAGATAAAAACATCAGTTTTGCGGTGTTTGTCAATGATTTTACGGGAGCGTATAAATGAAAAACTTTGTTGTAATTGGGTAACTAAATCGCAGCTGGAGGAAACGGTAGAAGAGCAAGAAGATCAATGGCCCTTAGACAAATTTTTTGATGCAAAAAGAGTTTTCGAAGAGATCCTCATTCTAATCTCAATTCAATCTTAGCCAAATTTTTTTAGGATTTCAAGGCTATTTAGTCTTGCGGGAAAGGCAGATAATAAGAGCTATCCAATTCCATGGGATTGATTTGTGCTTAGTTGTTACGCTTGCGATTAGCAAGTGTGATCAAACTGGAATATAGACTTTTTTCGGGTTAACAAATTGTTTAACAGAATCACTTGTATCTTGGTTCATTTTGAATTCATACTTCTAAGCGTTGCCGGCCAACTTAGCCTGGAGGTAACGAATATGCCTGGGACGGGAAAGGTCCTGGATTTGAATCTGACCAGGACCTGTTTATTTTTCAAACATGACTGTATACTCACCTAGAGTCTCTTTTTACTTGACCCCTCTGTTAACAGCCTTCAAAAAAGCTGAAGGCTGTAGACAGACGGTTTTTTTTTGATTTTTTATCATTTTCTGGAAAAAAACCTTCTCATATCTTTAAATTTTCTCATTTTTTTTTATTTTATTTTTTCGTTTTCTAGAAAAATGCCCCTCTCAAATCTGAGTTTTTGTTTTTAATGATTAAATGGTTTTGAAAAACTCGCTGCATTTGCGGCTGCGCTGAACTTTTTTTACACATAAACTTATGGCTCTCGGAAAAGTCAAAATTTTGATTTTTTTACTGTTTTAAATGTTTTCGTCTTTTTCAAGAATTACCCTCTCAAATCTGAGGTTTTGGCTTCAATCAAAATAACAGGTTGAGTGCATCTTTTTTACATTGGGGGCTACGCCCTGTTCACACAGAAAGCTATGATTTTCGGAAATGTCAAATTTTTGATAAGTTGACTTTTTTTTGGTTTTCTCTCGCTAACTATCCTGCCAAATCTGATATCATTAGTTTAATCGAATCAACAGGTTATTGAATGCATACCTTTACAACTGGCTATGACCAGTTTGTTTAAGACAAAAAGTTTTGGCCTTCAAACATCAAAGTTTTGAAACTTTGACAGTTTTTTGCAAACATTTGACCGTGTCTTAGAACTTTTGACAGTTTTTTTACCTTTTGAACTTTTTTAAAATCTACGCAAACAAATCTGAGATAAAAATTTTAACTGAAAGAACCGGTGGGGATAATGGTTCCTGCAGAAGCTGAGGCTCCTTAATTTGTTTTAAGAGAAATGTTATCTCAAAAATTTTTTATTCTTGTCACTTATTTTAGTAGAGAATCAACTTAGGTTTTGGGCAAAATCTAGTTTTTGAAATCACAATTTTCGTGCCGCATCGGTTTAGCAAACTCATTCAATATCAAAGACATACATCTAACTTTAGTTGGTCCCATAGTTGTTTTTTATCTAGACATAAGAAAGTTTTGGGTCACCTAGTTTATTTCAACATTTTTTTCGAAGTATCTTTTTCACATATGCGATAAGCAAATGTATTGCAATCTGGTACTAGACTTTGTTTTTCCCGTAAATAACTTTAGGCACATGATCTCAACGTCTAGAGGTAGGGGTGCCGGACAGTAGCTAAGTAGGGGTGCCGGACATCAAGCCGACGGGATTTGAAGCCGAATCGTAAAATTAGGGACTTTAGGCCGAAAATTTTCTAATTAAGTAATGAAATAGGATTAATTTGAAAACAATTTTGAAGAATTTTTCAATTTTATGATGTTTTAGTAATTATTGGCTTTTTCACTAAACTTAAGCCTCCAAATGATGTTTAGGAAAGTTGAAACATAAAACACGGTTGAAAGCAATTTTCTTGTTTATAATTTATTCATTTCAAAAACCGTCTGATAATATCAACGGATGCCCATCCTAAGTGATTCATTGTCACGAATAACCCTTATTATGGTCTAAACTTGCCTAAATTTTTGAAAAGCAACGTTTTAAAGATGAAAATGTAATGATTTGAGGTGCTTGTAAATTTCAACTTTCGGCCTGAAGTCCCTTCTGCCTGAAGTCCCGTCGGCTTGTTGTCCTAGATGTGCTAAGTAGTTACGTAAGTAGTCATTAGTCCAAGCCCGTTTCAGGTTAAAATTTTCTTGTCAAAAATATTCAAATCGCTTTTTTTTCCGGATTCCTGGTTTTTTCCTAGTTTTTGTCGGTTCATTTTTCGTTTGTTGAAACGCCGTTTTTTAACTTGAAAGGTTTCAATTGGTTTAATTTTTAAATCATGGATTTTGTTCCAATTTGAACAAGCTTACCATGTCTGATTGAGTTTTTTCAATTTTTCGTTTTTTTTCTAAAGTATTCAAACAGTTTCAGTTTATGTTATATCGACTTTGTCAACTTTTTTTTGCTAAATTTTGGGGACAAATTATATTCGTTTGGGGTTATGTGTTTAAGTTAAGATGGGTCGTATAAACTTTTAAATTTTTCTATGACAATAGTTTTGTTTTCGGCTCAATAGATTTCGACTAAAGTTCGTCGCCTTTGTTGCCGCTCGGTAATTGATTTCCATTTTTAAAGGGCTGCTTATGAATTTAATTTAACATATGCAGTTTTTGTAGCTGTATTTTTTCAACTTTTGTCAGGTTATTTTTTCTAGTAATTTTTCCAACATAATTTTTCAGAAATTTTGGTTTCACTTCTGTCTTTTTTTTCATTCGCTGTTTTGTAGCGCAATGTGTGTTTTGTATCGCAATTGTTGCGAAGCTCCTCTTTGCCTCTGTGTTCATGTTTGTGTTGTACCACAACTGGTGCGAAGCTCCGCTTCGTCTCTGTATTGATAGACATTGAGCGGATGTAGGCTTTTTTGTCTTAACCCACCTGCTATTTTTTTATTGTATTTTTTTTTCTAGTTGTCAAGTTGTTATAAAAATTGGCATGCGGAATAGTTTAGCTATTCCAAACATGTGTAGCCCTCGTAGTAAACCTAGTAAACCTCGTAATAAAATCAATGCTTATGTGAGTAAAATGAGCCCTTATTTTGTACATGGTTATGTCTTTCCGCTTGTTTGTGTTCTATTGAACAGACTTATGTAGTAAGGGTTGAAGTTAGATTGATGCCAAATAGTTTCTACGATTCTTGGGCAAATAACGGGGATCTGTTTGGATGCACTTGCAAGGATCTCTTCCCGGCTGTGATGGAGAGTGCCAGTAATAAGATCAAAGTGTGTCTGGATGTACCAGTTGGGATGGTTATTGAAAACGACTGGGCGTTCTTCGCGACGAGTTTTGATGAGTGTGAGTTATGAAAAATATTAGATATTTTTGTCAGTCATATTTTTTCTATTTTCATCATATCGCTGGAAGAAAAAATTTTGAGATCCGCGCAAACTTTTGATAAATAAGGTCTTTGAATTTTTCGACAGTGAATTTATTTATAACGAACACAACAGGTGTCCAATCAAAGTTGCAGCTTTTAATTTTGCTGGAACAACTTGAAAGCCAGAGAGATACTCGGTAAAGGCTGTTCTGTAAGTCAAATTATTTTGAATCAAATAATCAAGCGAGAGAATCATGGTCAAGTTGAGATAATTTTGAACAAGGAGGGCCGTTTTCTGTGCAAGTAGCACAGAATGTTCCGACCACAGTAATTGATGTAAAGCAATTTAAAAGAAAGCCAAATTGGAAAAAAAAGAAGTTTTGCGTTTTCGATTAGCAACGGTATTGCAAGCGGGTGCTAATTTTTTCCCCACTAAGAACATTTTTCGCAGAGTTTGCACTTGATGTTTCAACTTGCTTAATAATAAATAACTGAATCCAATAATTGACTCTAACCATTTATCACAGGCGCACATGCATGAGATGATGGTAAACTGGTATTTTTTGTTTTATTACACGAGCGTAGCGTTATGTGATACTACGATGCAACGTTTTGCTGGAACAATTTAAGTCACAGATAGAACAGCTTCTGATACTTGGCACTTCTGAATCTGTAGGATTCATTAGCACTAAAATTACACAAGCAAAGCTTGTGTGATAGTATGAACTCTCTTTTTTCCAACTACGTCGCAAATATTAGTGCTCTTTTTGAAAGTGCTCTTTTATTGCAGTATATGCATAAGATCAATAACCAGCGCTTAAGTATAGAAAATGCTAAGAATATGAACACAGACTATTATATTACAAATAGCACTTTAGCTTCAAGGCATCATGGATCTGTAGCGTAGATGTAGAGAAGGATACTCGCAACAAAATAAGAGGGTTCGAAAATGGGCAGGGTCGTATGTTTTTAGTGAACTTTTTCGTATACTAGTTAAAATGCGTCTGCTCTTTAAATTGAGGCATGTTAGTTCATTTGAGGCATAATTCTTTAAATTGAGGCATAATTCGTCAATTGAACCGCAAAAAGCTATTTGTTTCAAACAACAGTAGATTAATTAAAATCCCATTTCAGAAATTTTCAATCTCGATATACTTTGCTAGTTTTTTGGAATGCATAAATTTTAAGTAATTTTTGTTTACGACATTCCAATTTATTACCTGCAAAATTTGAGTTGCTATGCATTTCAAAACTGCTGAATCATTGCCGCTTTCTCGCTCGTCTTTGCAAAGTTGCAACTTCGCCTCTGTGTAAAAATTCAATTTTAAGAATACCGCATATCTGTTTGTTTTTCATTAATTTAAGATCCGTAGCACAATTTTTTTAACGAAAATTCAACTATTTCTTTTTTTTTCAGATTTTTGGCATTTCTAGTTGTCCTACTGGTGCAGGTAATTGATTTCCAACGTTAGTTATTATATTTTTTTGCTTAAAATGTTTTTTTTTTTCACTTTTTGTCTTGGATGTTTTGGTTTTTATCACTTCGGCATATTGCCTTTTATTGCGTAGTTGAAAGGGGAAAAGGATTTGTCAGCAAGTGTGTTGATCGGAGCGCGTAAAAATGTAGTGACCATTTTTGTTGGCTCAACGGGTGCCGATTTATTTACTTTTGCTATATTTTCTCTCAACGATAATTTAACGTTTAAGATTCATGTTTTCCTAATTTTTTTCGAGACGAACGTAAGAAATTTTTAATGTATGTAGTTTTTTACGACTTCTTTTGAACTTTTTTCCGTCCTGTGACTTTCGGCTAGAATACCATGATATGTTGGTTTGCAGCACAAGCGGTGTGAAGCTTTGCTTCGCTTCTCTTTGCATCGCTTTTGCTATAATCACGATCTGTTGCATTGGAAATTTTTTAGCATCTGTTGTCTGATTTATCTGTGTCCGTGGTTGAGAGGGTTGGGTGTGTAATACTTGATTTGTAGGTCGTAGGTTTAAATCCATCTCGTGGCAGAATTTTGAAAGCTAATTTCATGCTTGTTTCTACTTTTTTTATTTCACTTTATAGAGCTGTTTTTTGTCGGGTTCTTGCTAGTGTTAACGAAGCGCAGATTCGCATCTGTGTTTATATTGCATATTCGTCGTTCAAACCAACTCTGAGTTGAAAAATTTTTGGCAATTGTAAAAATTTGGGATAGAGTCTACTCTTGAAGCAGGTGTTCCAATTTAATTTTCTCTAAAGAAGCAGTAAAAAGCTTTCTATTTTCTTTGAGGATGCGAAGTGTTTTGTTTATGTTTTCAGCCAGTTGTCCGCAGAATGAGACAATGTTGCACTGCGTGAACAGACGGTGTGTTCAACGCACTCTCATCTGTGATGGAGTAGACAACTGTGGCGACAGGACAGACGAACTACTTATCGAAAATTGCGATCGTTAGTAGTAATTATCTACTAAATATTTTTCAAATTTGAAAAAACCTGAGGGTTAGGAGCTTACCGTGAGTGTTTTCTTACAACGCACTAACTAAGGGTCGGCAAAAATACTACATGAAAAAGACCAGTTGCAAAGAGTGGGCTCACAGGTCAATGAAAAAGAAAAAAATCAAGGTATAGATAGGATTATAATATAATTACTCTTGTGATATGCAAGTGTTAGTTGAAATTGTAGTACAGTTTTTAAGTATCTCGTATCGACGTTTACTGTGTTTCTTTACCAGCGGTGCGTGCCGAAGTGGGTGAGATCATGGATGACTCCACCCCTCTCTGGTGGGGCTGGATCTGGTGGGTTTTGTTGGTCATGTTGGCCATGATGACCACCTACTGGTGCTGTTGGAGACCGGGATACATCTGGTGGAGACTCGGTTGCTGCAGGGATCTCATTCCTTTTCTAAGGGCATGCTGTCTCTGTTTCTTCACTTGTGAGTCACTGCTAAAAATGAGAAATAACTCATTATTCCTAGCCTTTTTTTAAATCTTTCTTTCAAGTCTTGTTTTTATTCAACCGAAAGTTTGTTTGGTTATAATTTCAGCCTGGGACTCAGGTCCGTATTAAACAAACAACTTCAACTATTCATTTTTAAGACCTGTTTCTGTGTGTCGCTAATGCTCAAGAAAACGCTATGTTATTTTTGACAAAAGAAGAGAAAGAAACTTATTTCTTCATATCGTTTGTGTATCTCTTGAAAATGATCAATGCACTCATAAAAAGGCAGCAAGAGTTGCAACGATTAGCATGGGCTTTGTAATCGGGTATTAGACTTTTTAACTGTAAAAACGTTTGCCAGCAAAATTCGCTCGTGAGGTTCCACGTGCTTCATAATCAATCATAATTCAATGACTCTTTCTAAACATTTAGCTTAGGGGTAATGCTCATGTTTGGGACCAAAAAAGTTCTGGATTGGGTTTGCATACTTTTTATAATTGAAACTCATCTTGATTTTTCCCATTGAAAGTTTACCAATTATGATTTTCTATGATATTATTCTTTTTTAAGTTTTTTTTTTCACTTCAAAGGGGTTACTTCGGCTTAAATGGTTTCGGTTTATGTTACATCTGTGTTTTTGCATCATGCTACCATTTTAGAAGAACGATTTCTTAAATGCAATTGTGCTTCCAGGAAGAGGGGCGTTAAAATGTTTCAAAAGCTTAGAAGCTTTTTATAGCTCACAACATGCCGCTTCAGTATTTTCATTCCTCAAATTTCTGATATTTTTTTCGGCTCTATAGCCGCTTTCCCATGTTTTGTCTGCTTATTGATTGTTTAATACTGATTTAACACTAGGCGTTTTGTTCCTCGGAATCTTTTCTTCCAAGCGAACTTCGATTGGTACAAACGTATTAAAATTTTGACTGACGTCGCTTTTGTCGACATTTGAAAAAAAGACAGTTTTAAAAGTGGTATTCGTTTGGTTTTTTCAAGCTAGCATCTGAGCTGTTTTTGTTTTGTATAGCAATTTTTGCGAAGCTCCGCCTGACCTCTGTGTATCAAAATGACATCAGATCGCGAAAAAAAAACACTTTATTTTATGAAACAAATCTCGGAGGGGACAGAAAACGGGACTATTATTTACTTTACAATCTGCCCTAGTATATTTTGAATTAGAAGGTTATGATTTTCTGCGAGAAATCGGAAGAAAAATCTCTATTACACTTTTTTCTTATGCTACTCAAGAAAAACCCAAGAACACTGTACATAGTATTGACATCTCGACAAATATGAAAGTGAGAACTTAAGTTGAATTTTTTCTCATTTCAGTTTTTCATGCTGAATAAAAGCAAAACAAATCTGGTTTTTGTTTGTTCTTTTATAACAAATCTTTGTTAATTCAAAGCCATTTACGATTGTTCACTGTAGAGAAACTTTATGCCCAGCCACGGTTGATAGCTTCCTATAAATGAGCGATGGCACAAAACCCAAACAAAGAAACGAAAAAAAGTAGATAATTCAAGTTTTAAAAGCGCAAGGATTTTTTATATCGAGCTGAAATTTTGCTACTCAGACACCATTTTTGAGCCGTCACTTCTTTCGATGAAGACACTGTCCTATTTTCAGCGTAGGTCCGCTATTAAAAAAATTGATCCATCTTGCCTGTTCAATATTTGTTTCACAAGTTCTGCATCAGTCAATGAATCTGCTTTATCAGATATAACTACGATTCATTTGAATTTGTTGTAAGGTTTTCAAGATCACCCCTCAAAAACAGTTTGCGCATAGAATGTCTTGTCGTCCGGGCAGAGGTTTTAAGCAAAAATGTATCATCTACAGCCACTTATGAACAGAATCAACCGGTTGTTGTGCAAGTAGCAGACCAATTTCCGGCCACATAAATAAAAAAATAAATGAAAACTAAAAGTAAAAAGACAAACTAATTTTGAGTGATCTTACGAGAGAAACTAGACAAAAGCTTACAAATTTGGTACTTTTAGCATAATATGTTACAGTTGCATTTGAAATCTGGGCAGCAAAACAAATAAAATTAAACTGAAAATCTGAAACTTTTGAATTTATCAAATTTTTTGACAATCAGTTTTTGAAATTTTGTTTTACGTTTTTTTCGCCAGAAAAGCGCCGAAAGAAAAATTGCAATTTTTTTCTATGGACTGAAACCAAGTTTTCACTGCTTGAATTCAAGTTTTTCCTAAAATAATAATTACTCGATCGACCTACTCGCTCGTAATTCAGAGTAAAAACAAAAATACCCAGCCGGTTTTTCTCTAGAATGCAAAAGATGTTTAGATTTTTTTAGTGTCGTTCCAATCAACACAAAAGCTTATGGCCCTTTAAAATAGTCAATATTTTTTTGACCTTTTTTCTGAAATTTTGTCTTTTCTCGAAATTTGAGATTTTCTGTTCAACCGAACGGACGGCTTGCGGGGAGATCCCCTGCATTAGCGGTTACGCTCAAATTTTTTCACACAAAAATTAATGTACCTCAGAAAGGTCAAATTTAGGATTTTCGACGTTTTTTTAAATTTTTTTTTCGCGAAAACTACCATCACTAAGCTTGGTTTCAATGAGTAAAATTAGTTTTGGGAAGCTCCGCTACTTAAACAATTACGCCTATTTTTTTTTTACACAAAAGGTTATGACGCTCTGAAAAGTCAAATTTTCGATTTTTTGACCGTTTTTTAAACTTTTCGACTTTTCTCGAAAACTAACCTCATAAATTTGAGGTTTTGTTTTCAATAGGTAAAGCAGGTTAAGGGAAGCTCCCCTGGATCAGCGATTACGCCCAAAGTTTTTACACAAGAAGTAATGAACCTCAAAAAAGTCAATTTTTTTTTACTGTTTTTTGAAATTTTTCGTCTTTTCTCAAAAACTAACCTCCCGAATCTGAGATATTGGTTTCAGTGTGTCGAACGGGTTGTGGGAAGCTTTATTCATAAGTAGCTATGCCTAATTTTTTAACACAAATGTTTTTGACCCTCGGAAATTTCATTTTTCGCAGTTTTTCAAAAGTCAAAAAATTGTTTTTAGCAGTTTTTTTTACTTTTTGTCTTGAAAACTACCATTTTAAACCTGAAATTTTATGTTCAATGAAGAAAAAAAAGGTTCAGCGAAGCTTGTCTGTGTAAGCGCTCGCCATCAATTTTTCTAACATCTTCAGAAAAGCCTGTTTTTTTATTTCTTTCCGTTTATTTTAACTTTGAAAACTTCTCCAAAAAAACTCAATCTGATATCAAAGGTTGAATCAAAGCAACAGGTTGTAAGAAGCGTCCGTTTATAAACTACGCATTAAAGTTTGAACAAGAAACATATTTCTAGAAAAATTCCAAAATTACACATTTTTCACTCAATTTTTAATAGAGCAACAACCAAGGTTTTGGTTGAAGCCCAATGCTTAAATTTTTTAAACTACCTACTTCATCCCGCATCAGTACAACAACTCAAAAATTATCAAACTGGTATCTCCAGCTATAGCTGGGTCTCTAGTAGCAATTTAGTTTCAATGTATCATGGATTTGTAGCGTAGAGTGAGGTTAGGAGACCCGCAACAAAATATGAGGGTTCGAACCTGGGCAGGGTCGGATGTTTTTAATGGACTTTTTCGTATACTAGTTAAAATGCGTCCGCTCTATAAATCGAGGCATGTTAGTTGGTAAAATTTTGTTTTCAAATTGACTGGTACTGCTATTGCGTTATAATTGGCTTGCGTCAATTAGCAATTATGTAGACTCAAAATTGGCGTGCGTCAGTTAAAAAGTTTTGTGGACTCAAAGTTTTATTAGTTAAGTTTTTCCCAGTAGCGTTATTGGTGATATTTTTGCTTGTGTACGCGAGTGCAACTTCGCCTCTGTGTAAAGTGTTGCAGAAACAGAATTTTTATATGACTTGGATCTACCGGCGTGCAGAGCAAAGCGCTATTTTGAGTTTTTATCCTAGTTATTTTTTCAAGAACCGATTAATAGCTTCTGCAGTATCGCTAGACAGCAATTATTCATGGCTAGTATCAACTCGCGAATCAAGTAAACCAAGGAGTTTCACTCTGAATTACGTTTTCGAGGCAGTTTATTCGGTTATTTGAAGGGTTATAACCAAGGACTTTTTTTGTAGAAGTCCTTCTTCAACCATTTTAATTCTGACTGAGCTTTTGATCTTAGCCTTTTGACATTCTCGCATTTTTCTTAACTTCTAAATTGAACCCCTTTTTATGTACTTCTTCGCTAATTATTAATGTGTTGGACTTTGTTCTTAAACATTTTGGCTACTTGCTGTACTCGATTTTAAGCATCGATGAGAGCGGAGCTTTCATTCTCTCTCGTAAGTTTTGTTGGCAATCTCTGTCAACTTAGCTCGTAGATTTTTTGCAAAAGCTTCATTCTAGCTGGCTGATTCATAAAAACAACATCTCTATATCTTTGCTTTATGTCTTAATTTATTGTATTCCCATATAGATTCAACTGGGAAATGATTCATTATTCAAGGTTCTTCACAACTGTAGGTTCCAAGTTCCTTCGAACTAGCTGCTTAAGATTATTTTGGGGCTGAAAAAATTGCTCTTAAGTTTCAATGTTCATTTTGCCACAAGTAGCAGTCGGATTATTTGGAGAATGAAAGGCTTCGAGTTACTAGTCTAATTTAAAAAAAGTTTATATCAGTTCTGGGTTTGCATTGAGGCAAATGAGCTGAAAGCGAAACCCTTCAGCGTCATTAAGAGGTACCAATGATTCTTCAAAAGCAATTTCTAATTTTTAAATCATAACTAAATTTTTATGTTTATCTTTTTTTTACCGACCTAGATGGCATAATTGAGTACTCAGCAGATATGCTTGTTTTGGTGCACCTATTTTTTTTGCAGTTTGACAGCTTGACTTTTGTCATTTTTTTTCTTGCGTTTGTGAAGTGCAGCTTAGCTTCTGTATAGAAGGCTAAAATATGTCTGCAAAATAAATTTAAAAGAAATGGAATTTTTCGTCTGGAGAAATGGGATGAAAAAAAATTCAGTGACTTCTCAAGTTTTTTTTTTCAGTTTCTTTTCTTAAGGAAGTAAGAATTATATTATCCCATCCTCGAGAATATCCTAGATCCGCCCCTGATTTATTTCGTGATTGAATAATTGGCTCTGAAAGGTAGTGTATAGAGACCAATTTGGACAGAATTGAATTTCGTAAAGAGTAATTATGTAGTTTTCAGCAGCAATTTGACATTTTCAGGCACCTGTGCGATGAACTGCGGGGGAACCACGTGTGGGAGACACCCCTACAAACAACAGATGCAGGAGAACAACAACCGCATGCAGGCTATGGGTGCACGAAAGGTAGTCTCGAAACCCAAACCCAAGCCAAAAGTCAAGGGCACCATGATGGCTGCCAAGAGTCGCAAGGGTCCCATCACGAAGCAACCTCGCAATCCCCAGATGATGGTGGTGGAGGAAGAGGGGATGAGTGGGATTGGGGGAAAGGGAGGGCCTAAGGATGAAGTGTACAACGTGAAGGTTGATTATGACGAGGATGACAAGAATAGAAATGGGACGACTGCGATATTCATCGATGAGTTTCCGTTTGAAGAGTGGAGTGGAATGCACCACAGAGAAGGACGCTAATGATCAGCTATTTGTAGTGAATATCCCAATGAACTTTTTATATGAAATTGTTGCACACAATTTTCACATGAATGGGGCTTCGAAAATTATACGGAGCCTTTTGATTTTCAGAATTAGAGTTGTGATCTTGCCACTATCACGGAGCAAAGAAAAGCTCAAGTAATATTTAAAAGCTTGGATTATGTAACATTACCGTTTATTTTCAACTTAGCGTGTATGACCAGCATTTAAGAAATTTAACGACCAGCCTAACATGAAAACTTTTGTGGTAAAGAATTCGCTTTGAGAAGACCGTATGTTTTTAATTCAATGAAACCAGCAGTTTATAGAATATACTAACATTTTACATCAAATAAAATTTAAGCTTATTCCTGACTGTTTGTTTTTACGCTCTATATTGAAAATCATTTTTCTGAAGTTGATATATGAGCCGGCGCGGCGCGTCAAAGCATTTGAAAAAAAAACATCAAAAATTGATTCTGCTCAATATGTTTTAATTAAATTACATTCAGTCAATGCATTATGCACAGTATTAGTTGCTCTGAATCAAACCATTACAACTGAAAATAAAACAAGCATTTTAAAATGCAGAGAATTGAACCAGAAGCGTTTATATGTCCAACGTGCAATAAAAATTTCTTCCCTTACGAGTATTGTGAAAAACTGATGTGCAAAGAACGACTACAGTTCGGAGAAACTGCTTATTCACGTGGCACAGGATATCTCAAGATTCGATGTCGTATTGGCTCTTATGGAAACACGTCTACTATAAATATCCCTCCAATTTGTACAGTTAGTCACCTTTTGGACTCCGTTTTCCACGAAATGATCTCGGATAAGTTACCCCTTCCTCCAGATTGCAAAATTTTCTGCCTACTGCGGGACCACGTCATCGAATCGGGGCCTATGAAGGAATCTAGTTAACATCAAACTCGCCGTAGAAAGTTCGAAAGCATCACATATCACCAAAAAAGGCTATAAATTGGCAGCAAATGTCAACTAATATTTTTTTGATTTTTTATTCGGCCAAAAATAGTTCAACAGCGCATAGTTTAATAAAGGAACGAGTTCTTCAAACTGTTTTGGCTACGCATTAAGTTTTAATCAATAAGATTGAAACATTTTCAATTGTATTTCGGTATTTATGAATTCGGCGGAATATGTAAAATACCCGTTATTTTCCAGAGAAAGTTTTAATAAATGTTGAGTCAATTTAATCCAGGAAAAGATATTGTAATTTCTGCTTTTCACTCATATATGGATATTGTGTTAGAATAGAATACTGAATAATTTTTGACGGAGCTTGAAGTTAAATTGATCTGTAATCGCAGAATTGGAACATTCAGCGATATGCGATTAGAGACCGAGACATGGTTGTGATCAGACTGGTGGATGCTGTGACAGCAAAGGAAGTCATTTGGAACCCAATTTACAAAAGCTGGATGAGGCCAAAACACTAAAACCTTAGCCATGATAATTTTAATTTTTATTTAGAGCAAAAAAATTCTTGAAATAAACATTGCTTACGCCGGCTTAAGAAGTTTAATGCAGTTACCTAATGCAAGTCTAAGCAAAAAGTAGCGTGATAATCATTCCAGATTGCTGGGCTCGATCTTGAGTGATGTTGGGCTCAATAAAATCTTAAACTGATTTCTGTTTTAGAGTTGGCTCGTTGCTTTTGCTTGCGATACTCATCGTTGCGCTTAAAAACTCGAAGCGCAGTATAATATTTCTGAACTTGACTTTTTAGAGCAGCGGAGCTGCAAAACAATCCGTCTGCGTATTGCGTTTGTAAACATAGTTGCTGACAATGAGAACGTATTATTTTCCACCCAAATGTGTTCACTTGCTTCACTTCCAAGCCATATTTGAGTCTCTGAGTTCGGCCATTTTTTTATAGAAAGAACAGAAAGAAAAAGTTTATTTATCCAACATTTTTAACAAAATACTCGATTAAGTTTCGAAATCAACTCAAAAACAAATTAATGCAAAAAGTGAAAGCTATTGATTGATAGAACAGACAAGATAAGATTTCCATTACACGTCTACTCTGCGTATTTAAGAGTCGATGAGCGTATTGAAGACTTTTATTTCAGTCTTGATCATTTTTTTTGCTTTTTTTCGGGAAAAGTTTTTGAAAATTGTTCCCTCTTAAATTTGATTTTTCGTGGTTTGAATTTTGATTTTTGTTTAGGTTCAGTTTTTTATTATTGTTAAAAGGAAACCTTATTCCACTATCGACGTCTATTTAGAAAGTGGATGTAAATTTTCAGATTAACCAGCGCAATAAAAACTTTACGTGATGATGCAGTTTTCTCAAATTAAGTTAATTTTACCAAAAAAACTGACTGCCTATGATAAATTGTTCTTGAAATTCAAAGAACTTTAAATCCATATAGTTTAACTCTTTAATTGGAAAGCTGAAAAAACAAGTCAGATTTTTTGTCGATTTCTGTGCGTTCATTGAATTATTACCCACTGTCTGTCTGTTGACTATGCTTTTTGAGGCATGCTTTTTTAGTCAAATTTCAATACTAGACGCACGTTATTACCCTTGCGATAAGCAAGGGTATTACAATCAGTTACTTAACTTTTTTCCCGTAAATTTGTCAACAGATTTCCGTATATTGTTACTCCCACTACACCCTTATTAGTGTTTTTTCATTAAATTTGCTGTTCAAATTTTTTGAATGATGTTTCTTTGGTATTTTTTGAATTTTCGACTTCGTTGCTTTCGGTTTACTTCTTCTCGGCTTAATTTCCGGTTGTTACCATCCGGCTTAGTTTCCGGTTTTTACCATCCAACCAAATCGCTCATTTGAGTTTGAGTTTTTTTAACATATTGTTGCTCTTAGTGTTCTGATTTACCTCTGCTGTTTGTTTGTATTTTTCTTAACCTTGACATCGTATATATTCCTGTTTTTTTTCGCTTAACAAGTCTATTCTTTCCAAATGAGTTCGCCCTATTTTTTATCGGCTTAGTGAACTAATTTTGAGTTGTTTCAACAGAGTCATATTTTTGTGCTCATCTCTGGATCGCACAAAATGCTAAAAATAGAAATTATAGTTCAAGTTTTTCCTGACCACAAGTTTTTTCGGCTTAGGTTCGGGCCTATTTTATATTGGTTTATCGGCCTCATGTTGTGTCTTTCGATGAGCGAAAAAAATTTGTGTATGCGTGTTTGTCTTTTAAGGGTGAGGGGGGCTTAATAACTTCTTATTAGTCTTAATTTTTTTCCTCTTTTTTATTTACCTTTTCTCTGTGCTTAATAGGTTTCGCGCTATATTTTATCGGTTTACTTGTCGCATATTGTTTCATTTGACAAGCAAATAAAGTTTTTTTCGAGTGTTTTGATGGCCAGGGGGACTTTTTATTGCCTTGGCCAATTTTTGTTTCAAAGGTAGCTTTGTTCATTATGATAGATCTAGTTTTTCGACAATTTCGATTTTTTTCTTCAATTTTCTTGTGTTGTATCGCAAGTGGCCAGCTTTGCCTCTGTGTTAAACTTGCGATAACACCCGGTCGCCATACACTTGCTATTGCAAAATTATTAAACTAGGCTTTTTGCTGCCCTAAATAGGCATTTTTCCATTTAATAGCTTTGCTTTTAGGACTCATCTCCTATATTCTTTTTTTTTGGAAATACTGTATTAGATATATTTTGAGCGTGTTAGATTCTTAAATATCCGTCCTATTCGAAATTTGTTTTTCATATCGGTTGATATTTTATTTTTTGATTTGTTTCTTTAAACTAAAGTTCGTAAATCATTTTAAATTTGGTCTGGCTTAATAAGTTTCTGCTTATTTTATATCAGTTTAGTGGCCTCATTTTGCGTTATTTGATAACCGAAATTTTTTTTTGTGTTTGTGTGCAATTGTGTTCCGAGGGGAAGGGGACTTGAATATTTTTTTAGGTTTTACCTGAAAACTGTTTTTTTTTTCGGCTTAGTTGGTTTCTGCTTATTTAGTTTTGGTTTTGTACCGCTTGGTTAGTTTTCTTCCGATGGTAGTTACTCTTGAGATAAGCAAGGGTTTTGCAATCGGGTACAAGAGTTTTTTCCCACAAATAACTCTGTTCACAGTTTCATGATTTCCATTTTCAGCACATTACACGTTTAACATTTCTAGTTACTGTCTAGTGTTAATGCGTATCTGGGTTTATTGGTGAAAATATTTTCAGATCTAAAATAGTTTTTTTTGTTTAGGCTTAATTGATTTCGGCCCAATTTTTGACAGCCTCTTTGCCGGGTGTTTTTTTTAAAATTTATAACTATTCAAATAATTGTTAATTTCAATTCGAAGGACATAACCCGCGCAAACTTTTTTATGCGCCAGGAAAGGGCAATAGGTACATTCACGGCTGCTGGAAATTTAAAATGTTTCAGCTTCTGTATGCGACGTGAATTTTAATCTGAGTGTTAATTCTTGTCGCAACTTGAAGTTTTTCATATCTGCTCAAATCCTCAGTGTAAACAATGTCGAATACAAAGATTTATACAATATTTGAGAACAACAACAATTTTTGTTTCATTTTTCTATATTCGACCTCTTTGATCTCAATATTGTTGAAACCTAACTCAGTTAAAGTTTTAACTATTGGGTGCGAAGCTTCTTATTGCTTGCTTTTTTCTAAACGTATTTTACGTATGATTATTCAGTTTTTTTAAACGTATGATTATTCAGTTTTGATAATCATACGTTTAAAAAATCGCATTCATTCCAAATAGGGGACAATGTAACAAAGCTCTCCTTTTCACGGTATTTATCATGCAATATCAAAATCATCTGCTGCAAGCTGTAATTCTGTATGAAACGACCTTTAAACTTAACCAGATTGTTTTGATCTTAATGATATATCGTAGGGATCTTCTTCGCGAAGAAGTTTGTTCAGCTGTTCTGCAATTTAATTTGCGAATTCAAGGATTTAGATTGAGGGATAATCACGTGGCATGAAAGGACTTCTTCACGTGGCTTCGGTGATAAAACTGATCAAAATTGACATTTTTTACATACCAATCGACAAATTCATATTTGCATGGCAGAGGCGTAGTCAAGTGCGTGGCTTAGGTGGCGTATTTGACTCCTTCATCATCCAAAAGTTTCATCTGTTCTGCTAATTTACTCCACCCTTGCGACCTTCTTCGACAAGCCTTAAGTATCTGCGCCAATACGATACATAATAAATTTTCGAGGGATTGTTTTCTAATAAAATGCCAAAAATGTTCACTTTCTCGCCAAAATCTCGCGTGCATCACAAAATGTAGTTAAATTAAAACTGGGGAAATTCGACCTCCCTTTCGACCCAAAAGGGCCTCTCTTTGTGCTTTAAGCAGAATTTCATTTTGGACTGACGGACCCTAAAATTTTTCTGAAACCCTTTTGGCGTCTGTTTTTAATAATTTTTAGGGGGAACTACTCGCCGAAAAAACGTGATTTTTTGGTCAAAATTTTCCTAAAGTATCTTGAAACGCCCTTTTTTTCGGTCTGTTTTTTCAAAATTTTGCCTGCGGCGCAGAAAATTTGGCGAAAACAATTTTTTTGAGTGCTATGGGAAAGCTCGGAAGTTTATTTGGTCGGCCCAAAAAAAAGATCGATAAAATTTTTGATTTTTTTTGAAAAACCGCCCCCCTTGAGGAAATCCTGGATTCGCCCCTGTTATGCTCTCCAATATATGCTAGTTTTGAGCTATACGCGCGCCAAAAAAACGCAATTATTTGGGTAAAACCTCCAAAAAAGTTTCCAAGCTTGAACTTTTCTAGGACAACAGGCCGACTGGACTTCGAGCCGAATTTAAAATTTTTATACTTTTCTGACGCGATTACAAAACTTGGTCCCTTAAAAAAGTTGAAAATAGCTAATTTCTGACTAGAGGTTCTTTCAGTTCGTTTAATGAATCGGTTTTCCAGAAAAAAATTGCAACACTTTAAATGCTTTTCGTGATAGTGAATTACTCGTTATGAAAAATCGCTCCACAATTGTTTAATTTTTGAGAGATAAAAACTTCGTTGATTTTTTTCTTGTCTTCACCAAAGAGCAGCTTCACAACTGTGTATTATTTTAGAGGTGAATACAGATGAAAACTTTGTTGAGTTGTTGTTGTTGTCTTCAAAAAAGAGCAGCTCCACATTTGTGTAAAGTTTCAGGGATTAAAATTTTCCTGAATATTTTTTGTTGTCCTTAAAAAAGATCAGCTCAACTTTTTTGTAAAGCGGCGGAGATGAAAACTGCCTTGATTGTTTTTTGTTGTGTTCAATAAAGAGCAGCTCCACAGTTGCGTAAAATTTTATAGATGAAAACTCCATTGAGTAGTTCTTGTTGTCTTTAATAAAGAGCAGCTCCTCATTTGTGTGCAAATTTAGATATGAAAACTTCGTTGATCGTTTTTTGTTGTCTTCAATAAAGGGAAATAGAGATGAAATTTTCGTTGAATATTTTTTGTTATGTTCAATAAAGAGCAGCTTCTGATTTGTGTCTGATTTTACAGATCAAAACTTCGTTGATTAAAACTTTTTTGACTTTTTTGTTGTCTTCAACAAAGGGGGCAGCTTCACATTTGTGTAAACATTTAGATATGAAAATTCTTTGATTACTTTTTGTCCTCTTCAAGAAAAAGCAGCTTCTTATTTGTGTATAGTTTTAGAGATGGAAACTTCGTTGAGTGTTTTCTTGTGGTCTTCAGCAAAGAGCAGTTTCGCTTTTTTGAAGAAAAAAATTAGAAATGAAGACCTCGTTGACAAGTCCCTGATGTCTTCAACAAAGAGAAGCTTCACATTTGTGCAACGTTTCAAAAATTAAAACTTAGTTGAATTTTTCTGGTGGTTTTCAACAAAGAGCAGCTTGACTTTTGTGTAGATTTTTAGAGATGGAAACTTCCGTTAAATATTTCTTGTAATCTTTAGCAAAGAGTAGTTTTGCTTTTTCTTAAAAAATAGAAATGAAGACTTCGTTGAGTAGTCCTTTTTGTCTTCAACAAAGAGCAGCTTCACATTTGTGCAACATTTTAGAAATGAAAACTTTGTCGAATTTTTCTGGTGGTTTTCAACAAAGAGCAGCTTGACTTTTGTGTTATTTTTAGAGATGAAATTTTCGTTGAATATTTTTTGTTATGTTCAATAAAGAGCAGCTTCTGATTTGTGTCTTATTATACAGATCAAAACTTCGTTTAATGTTTTTGTTGTCATGAATAAAAAGCAGCTTCACATTTTTATAAAGTTTCGTACACAAGTTTTCATGAGGTTGAAAAATTGGATTCTACTTCAATAGATGAATTATGGAACGCAATAAACAAATACGCTATATTTTTAAATCTGTTTTGTGTCAACTGTTTTCCCCAAAATTTGCCTTAATTATCACTGTTGTAATGTCTTTTAAAAACAAGATAACTCACTAAAGCCCCTTTTTTCAATCATATGATGAAAAGCTAGAAAGAAGCTTGCCTCAAAAACTCGCAACAAAAGACTACTCAAAAGAAACGATAGCTCGCAAAATTGAAGAAAAAGTACTCTCGACAAAAAAATGAATATCTAAAAAAAATAAATTTTGGCGCAAAAAAACTAAATTTTTGCGCAAATTTTTTCTAACTAAATTTTAGCGCAAAAACTATGCTATGCGTGCCGAATACAAGCGCAGCAAAGAAAGTGGTACTCATTGCCAATGCAGTTTTTAAAACTAATTTTCAATTTCCTAGTTCTTGAGTTTGTCAAATTTTGAGGGTTCTTGTCTTTTGTTGCGAGCTGTCTTTTATTACGATATTTTTAAATTTCTTACGAGGAAAACTAATTACTAGCGCTGTATGTTCAATTATCCCATGCTGATCAAATTGTCCAAACAAAGCAAAAAATCATCAGAACTTTTGATTTCATCAGAGCTCAGGGAGTCACAAAAAGCCACTAAAAATTGCTACAAATTTACTGTTGTTTTTCTTAGAAACGGGAGATTGAATTATATTTAAAAAGTGCTAGAATAAATTTTAATAAAAAGTAAAATAACGTTATAATTATAAAAAAATAAATTTGTAGTTTTTTTTAAATCAAATTTGGTGTAATTTAGTCGGAAAAATCAACTTTTTCTATAATTTATTCTCGACGCAGATAAATTTTTGATTTTTTTGACTTGTTGTTCTTGGACTATTTGTTCTTTGAGCTGATCAAAATTGGCTTATAAAGGCCTTCTTTTAGCCATAGCTCCTTCCAGTCATTTATGAGAATCTTGAATATGCTTTGTTTCTAGCCTAATTTCTGATAAGATAGGAAGACTCAATTTGCAAAAAAAACTGTATTAGTGGCTAAGCTGATGACCGGTGCATCCGCGATTTTTAGCACGTGTTGTATCTACTTGTTTTCAATGCAAATTTTATGGTCAGTCAGTCGAAAATAGGTGAAGTAAAAAAAGAAGTAACAAACGGGCAAAGGCTCTCTAGTGAAAGGCTCGAGTTAGTGAAGAGGGATGTAAGATTATTTCAACAATCCTTTTCATTTTTCTTCCCATTTGTTGTTTCAGTTCAATGGCTGTCGTTACGAGAAGGTATGTACTGGGAAGCTCTTGCTACTGGAACTGTTCCCGTCTTAGATTCGATACATTTGATTGTTGCAAAATGTCACTACTAGCAAGGTAAGTTCTCTCTGTTTTCACAGTGAAGTTTCATAAGATATCTATACCAAAATTAGTGAATAGGAGCTTCGCATCTCATGGATGAATATAGTTGATAAATGACTTTTATCAGAACTTTTCTTAAGTAGTTTTAAGATTGGTTTCCCAGCATGTACTTTGATGAGCAGATTTCTTAACAAAATCAAATGTTGAGCAAATAACTTACTGGGATGCAGTGCCAAAATGACAGAAATTTAGATTTGAGGAAGATCGGGATATTACGAATAAAATACCTTGCGATTAAAATACTACGAATGCAAGAAAAATTTCGCAAGCTGATTGAGCTTAGTCCATGCACAAATGTTTAATTTTCTATGATTTTTTGGGGAGTTAGATCATCATAATTACATTCGCCGGCGTTTGTGAGTGTATATTCATTATCGAGCAGCTAGTGTATTAGTACGATCCTTCTTTTTTCTAACCTAACTTCCAATTAAAAGTGTGCATTAAAAATTGAAAGTGGCACTTTTGCTATAAACACGATCTAGGATTGGAAATTTCATCGCATCTGTTCTTTGATTTATATGCGGCTAGTGTTTGTGATTTAATAAGCGTACGTGACTGAGTGGTTAGTGCGTGAGACTCATAATCTCTAGATCGCAGCTAGAACTCGAGACCTAGCCGAGTTTTTTTTTTACTAATTCGAGGCTTATTTGTACTTTTTTTGCTCTTTATAGAGCCGCTTTTTGTCGTGTTATAGTATATAGCACTGTGTAATAGTGCGACTATTCTTTTTCTTTCCAACCTAATCCGCAAGTATTGGTGCCACTTTTAGGTTACCATTAAGGTTTTTTGATAGCATGTGCTTTGACATTCAATTAGTAATAAGTCAACACAATTGATGTGTTTTTTTTCATTCAACTAATAAAACAAATAATAAATTTGCTTCAAAAAACAGTTCAATAATGAACTCGATTTCAGAAATTTTCCAATTCATTATGCTCGCTTTTTTTTAAATGCGTAAAATATACATAGTTTGGATTGATGGTGTCCTTTTTATTACATTCAAAGTTAGTGTTGATGCCTGCAGTTTGTTATTGAGAGTAATGAGCTTAGCGAGTACTCTCATATAAGTCTTGGTGATTTTCTTGTTTTTTTAAGTAAAAAACCTTAAAACTTGTGCACGCTCAATTTTGATTTTTCGCGGTTTGATTTTGATATCTTTTTAAATTCACTTCTTTTTTTGTTAAAAAAATGCAACCTCCACTATTGAACAGCACTAAAAATAATGAAAAACCTGATTGATTTCTAACTTCGGAAATGGAATTCAGTTATCAGATTTCCCAGCAAAATAAAAACACAACCTATTGATCCAGTTTTCTCAAAACAGCACCAATCATGAATTGTTTGTGAAGCTCAAAGAGTCTTAAGGGTGTATATATCTTTTTTTTGAAATCAGGTTTTGTTTCCTTGCGTTCGTTACTTTTTTCCAACTGTCAATTAGCCATTTTATTCTGAATTATTACATGCAGTTGTGTTTATTTGTGTTTGGTGTTACTTTTGCAGCATGGCATTGGCAATTTATTAGCATATGTAGCTGTTTTGTTTGTGGTTAGTGTTAGTAGTTTGTCAGGGACACGGGGCGCAGATGCTAGGACAGGAGACTTGAAATCTACGGTCGTAAGATTGATTCGAGTCCGCCTCAGCAAAAGTTTTAGTTTTCAAGTCTTATTTTTACTCTTTTTTATTTAGCTCTAAAAAGCCGTTTTTTCTCGGTTTCTCGCTAGTGTTTGCATAGAGCAGCTGCGCCTCTGTTGTAAAACTTGAAAAATAAAGAGCCATTTGCTGTCCAATTTCCCAAAAAATGTTTGTCATAGTTTGTTTTGCAAAAATAATAAAACAGCTGAAATTTAAAAAGCGAAAAATTTAAAGTGATAAAAATTACGGATAGCTATTTTCTGTTTAAGTAGTCCAAATTTTCCGACCATAGAGTTCAATCTAAAGCTAATTAAATTTTTAAAACATAGTTATTAAAAAAACTTTTCTAGGGTGTGGGAGGTGGTTCCAATAAAATATTTATCTGGAAGAATGAGGTGATAATAACTCAAAACTTGATAACAGTATTAGTAGGTTCAAAAGTTATTTATTTTTTTTCTTTCAGAGGTGTTATTTAGTCTGAAAAACGGAAAAAAAAGATGCTGAGAAGCTTTTTTTGACTTTTTCGAAATCGAAACCATTCCAAGTTTAATTTCATACTATACTTAGCTTTTACTAGCCTCCTTTGAGGTACCTGAAACCCAGCTACGTCTCTGTGTCAACAATTATAACTAAGATCATTGGTTGAAATTAAGTTTAATGGAAAAATTTCTGCATTAACATTTAAAACGGAAGCTCGGCTAACCGTTCAGTGATTTGAGGCCATACAACAGAAAAGACCCAGGACTAGTTTTTACCCGAATTGCAATGGTCCTTCCTACTAAATGGTTGGTACTAAAAGAAGGAAACTGTAATATTCAGATGTGTACTCTTGAAGTGTTTTTGTGAACAAAAATTGGTCTTTAGTGAGTAGGGTCAAGAAACTGAGCAGAGGCGATTTAAGTGGAAGGTATTCGACTCAATGACTGCCCACAGGGTCCGACTAAATTCGAAGAGTAATCCCGCGCCGAAAATCTCTCCAAAAGGTTGTGGTCTTTTTTTTTTTTTCAAATTTTGCACGCGCTCGGAATTTCGCCTGCTTCCTGGTTGAGCCCGGAAAAATCTATTGGTTCAGCGACCTAAAAAAGGTCGACAAAATGTTCAACTTTAAAAAAAAAAAATCCACCTCATTGAGAAAATCCTAGATTCACTCCTGTATGTGAGATGAAGCTATCAATGGTGTGCGCATGTCGAGAGCTAAAATGCATCCTTGTCCTTGAATGGACCGGCATCTTAAACATAAGATAAATTTTCTTCTCAGTCGATTTCGTCCAATTTGGTACTTCTTAATTCGATTTATAGATTTTCTTGTCAGTCACCGGCTTGGACAGTTGTCTGGTCTCCTAAGATCATTTAAGACACCTTGAAAGGCGTTTTTGTCTTTTGAACATTAATACATTTTCAGGTTTAAAGTATCATTCAATGTAATATGAGTAAAATCCTGAAATCAGTCAATCATTCTATGCCTTATTTATAAACGTTGACCTCTTAATTTAAATAAGTATTTTAAAAAAAATAGTACTTACTACTAGTAAAGAAAGCAGAAATATAGTGTTTATGAACCAAACTTCCCAAGGAGCAGTGTCTTCTTTTAGCTTATTGGTCGCCAAACTAGTGAACTTATGTAATTTAAGCTGCATTATGTAACAATGGCGTGTCTTCTTTACTTGTGAGGCGAACGGTTTAATGAGATGGTTGCAAGAAACCCTCGAGCTGGGAAAAGATAAACAGGCCGAAGTACAAATAAGCCGAAATTATCAATCTAAGAACTGCAAATATAAATTGTAATATGTAACTGATTCGGTTGAACAAAAAAATTCGGCTTGGAGGTAGGGTAGGTTATGGTTGCTTTATCAACCGTTTGGGTTATTGGTATGAAATCCCCATTTTGTTGTGTTATCAGTGGAATAAATCTATTTTACAAAGAATCTTTTGACCTATCAGTCGTTTTAGTGACAGACCGTTGTTTGATCTTTTTCTGGTGGCCTTCTCTATTCATATTTGGGTGGCATCTAATCCCCTTTGCTTATCATTTAGATTAACATCCAACTTCGAAACAATTGGTCGCCGAACTATTTGGACCTCATTTAAAACCCGACGAATTCGTCCGATCTTCACCCCAACCAAACGACTGAAATTTATTCAGAGCGAGTTGAATAGTTTCACAAGTGTATTAGAAGCAAAACAGTCACAGACAACCGGAAACACTTGGCAATCGATCTTCTTCAGAATGTCGATCTCAACCGAATCACAGAATGCAGTTAAAGCCATCACGAATACTTTGAAAGGTGAGTTAATTTTAACTTGAAAGATTTGTTGAAGAGCAAAGGTCATAAGAGGTCATTTAACATGCATGCCATTCACACTATTTTTTTCCTGAGGCACAATACGTATGCTTGTGCTTCCTTATGTCATGTTTATTTGTTATTTCTGCACGAAGTGCCTATAGTCAAGTTCGATAACCTTTAGACTAATTGTTTCTTGGGATCTCTCTCAACAAAACGGCATGCATTGGGTGGGGATCGGGCGTCTTTGTCTTATGAGCCACTATCACAAAGATTTCAAAGTTTTATTTGCAATGACAAAAAAGTCAGATAAAAGTAAGATTTTATTGCTGTTGATGATCTTATGCTGCTAATTGGAATGAGTGTGGTAACGAAAAAGCTTCACTGTGTTCCAAAATATAGTGTTCGAGCCATTTAGACCATGAACATGATTCTTTGCAAATTTTTTCATTAAGCTCACCATTTTCGAGTTGGTAGGACAATTTATAAAGATTTCCAAGTAGTCTTTAGCCTTGTGATAAGCAAGGGTATTGCAATTGGGCACTAGATTTTTGCAACATTTTTTTGTGGAAATTTGTTAGTTTTTTTTTGAAAAATGTTTCAGAAAAATTTTATAAATGAAGTTTTTTATTAAACTTTTTCGAAAAATTTTGCTATGTCGATTAATGACCACGGAATTATTACGAATGCGATTGCTTTTTTCGGTTGCTTTGTCGGTAAATGCGCACGGAATTATTACAAGTGCGGTTGCTAATTCACATTGTCGTCTTCTTACTGCTACGTATGTTTTGTTTCGATTCAAACTTAACGTTCTGTTGTTTTGTTTGGTATGTTATTTTTTAAAACAACAATTTTTGTTCCAGACAAATTGATACAAAGATATGAAAATGTTGGTAGATCTAGCTTTTCTTGACAGTATCGCATTTTTTCGAATTTTTTTCTGACCTAGCGGCTTTCGCCTCAATTTCTGTCTGCGTGGTTGTTGTGCTATGTTTGTGTTGTATCGCAAGTTTTCTGCTTTATGGTTGTCGACTTAAACTCTGTCGGTTTAATTTCCAATTTCGGTCAACCACCATGCTTTTAATACATATAAATCACTCGTGGACCAAATGTGGGAGGTACGTTTTGGTTGATTTTCAGCTTAATGCCTGTCGGCTTTAACTTTTTTGGCTTTTCTACGTAATGTTTTAGAGATCGATAAGAATTTGGCTCCATAACTTCGAATGAATGCACCAAGTCGCTGAAATAAATAGAATCATGAAAATTCATTTTTCATTACTTAAAATTTTTGTTTTTGTAGTTCCTTTTTCATTTTTTTATTCGCTCGAAGTCGTCTTTGCTACTTCTTCAGCGTTATGCTGTTTTCATCCAATATTTGTTGTCTCGAAAGTGTCGTGAAGCTTAGTTTCGCCTCTCAAGTGTTTTGCTCGGCAATTTTGTCTAGAATAAACTTTTATTGAGACATACGAAAGTTTGGTAGACCTTTTTTTCAATATTTTGTGTATTTTTCCCCAATTTTTTATGCTTTATCAATGTTGGTGTTGTATCTGTATCGCAAGTGATGCGAAGCTCCGCTTCGTCTCTGTGTTAAATACAGTGAATTTCTTTGTGATGAGCCTTTTCAGTAGTTTGAAGTAAAATTTAAATTATTCTGTTTTGATTTTTGGATAAAGTTAACATCCTCTCCCCCAGATACACTAAGCTAGCTTAGGTTCTCCAATCCAGCGTTTTAATTTGGGATAATTTTGCTAAGCGCTGCATGTAAGTTTATCGATTTTGATTGGCTGAAAATTACAATTTAGAACCAAGGTAGCATCCCCCTCCCATCAGTTTTGGAGGTGGGGGTGGGGGTGGGTGATTATTAACTTAGTCTAATTTTTTTCAAGCATTACAAATTTCGAAGCTTGAATTTGTGTAGAAATCATTGTGAAGAAGCATAAATGATCATTAAATAATTTTTTGTGATTTTCAAATTATAATATACTTCCATATATACTCCCAATTTTCCTAGCCATTTAAATTATTTCAAATGTTCTCTATTAAAGTTAATGGGTTCTATATTTCAATTTTCCGAAAAGAAATTGGCAATCTGAAAAGCAAATTTTTAATTGATGTGCAAACTAGAAATTTAAACTTTGCTGACAAATTAATTAACTAAAAGTGCCTTTTTCATTGCTCATCTCTGGTTAAATCTGACCTAAATTTGTAAGGTGTAATTTTACGAATTTACAATATCGTGCATTATTCTAAAGGGTAAAAGTGAGCTTTTTAGAATTTTTCTAGGCTCCAGTAAAATTAATATTAAAGATTAAATTGAACTTCAGTGTTACCGGGGTCGACCGGAAGTTGCCTTTTAATTGCGCTCATAAGGTGTAAGACTAAATCTCATTCATTATCTGAAATTATTATGCAGTTCTTACTCGTTTTTTCGTGGTTTCAGCAATTCATGATTGTGTCAGTGCCATGTGTACCTATTAAATATTTGAGAATATGGGAAACCAAAATATATTATACATGTGAGCAAAGCTTGTGTCATGGTCTCTAGATGGGGGGGGGGGGTCCGCCCCTCTTTAAATCGGCAACTGGCAATGACACAAGCTTTCTTTCAATTATATACAAATTTTTGGCTTCCCTTAATTCGACCCACTGGCGACCCAAAAGGTCCCCCTTTAGTACCATTTTAAGGCTGACCGACCTTAATTTTTCTTTAACGGCGCCAAAATATAATAAATTTGAGGGGCAGCGCGCACCGAAAACACGCAATTTTTTGGTCAGAACTTTCCACAAAGTGCCCAAAAACGCCTTTGGCCAAAAATTTGCCTTCGGCGCAGAACATTTGGTCAAAAGATCTTGATAGTCATTTGGGAGAGCTCGTAACAAAAATGGTCGACCTAAAAAAGTTTTAGGAAATTTTCTGAAAATCCCCCTGCGAGAAAATGCTAGATCCGCCCCTGGTTGTGATTCCAGTTTTTTTTTCAATACTTGCGGCACAATTTAAAAAAAAATGTTTTTGTGCATTTCATTACACCTCGTGCATTTTGTTTGCTAATGTATTTTCATTTGTTCTTGAACTTAAGTTGCTTTTTTTTGAACAGAATAAGCTTGCCGATCCATTTCGACTCAATCTGTCTGAATTGTGACTCCATGATGATTTATTTTTATGCAAATAATTGAAATTTGTAGGATCCCAGATGTCTCGATTAATGAGCGGTATTTGAAATCATCAGTTCGAAGAACCATTTCCGGGAGCTTTCATGCTTTTGTTTGTACCGGAGAACGTACGTGTAAATCGGCAATGAAACGTATCAGTTTCAGATAACTTTTTCAGGCGGATGCTTTTGAACAGAATCTGTATCCAAGTTTTTTCTCTGGTTGTGAGTAGAGTCTGTATGGGTTGAAGTTTTTTCAAATAAAAGTCTTTCAAGTATTTATTGTATCCCTGCGTTCATTTACTTTTTCCAACTGTCTGTTGGCTGTTTTTTTCTAAATTTTTTTGAGAAGCAAAAATTTCGCCGAAATATCGAGCGCTGAAAATTCCATATCGCACTTGTCGAACGATTATCTGATAATTAGTATGTTGCTTCAGACAAGAAGTTAGTCCTGTTTCTGGACTACGACGGGACCCTGGCCGATTTAACTACGAATCCAGATGAGACGTTCATGACAGAGGCCATGAAGAGTGTCCTCACAGACGTGAGTTTTCTGGATGACGTCACCGTAGTGGCCATTAGTGGACGGAAGACGGAGGATGTGCAGAGTAGGATTGGACTGAGTAATATCATGTACTGTGGCAATTTTGGCCTCGAAATGTGTCTGACTGGAAATGGAATGACGTACAATGTCAACGCAGAGGAACTCAGGTGAGCATAAAGTGATGCAAGGCTAGTTCAAGTACAGTCAGACAAGATTAATTTGGTCAAAACTAGTCAGAATGAAAACTGCTATCTACCTTTTTGTGATGGTCGCTGTTTTTTGTTGCTACTTTTTACCTTTTTCGTCAAAAGTTTTATTCATAATGCCACGGTCGAGTATTTTTGAAGCTCATGATTTCTTGATTTACAAATGATTATTGTACAATCATTTTGGTCTAACAGTTTTGCGATAAGATCAAGAATATGGGTTAGAATTAGTGTCGTTAAACCTGCAATATGACTTTTTTGCTAGTTTTTGAGGGATGGAATTATTAGGTGTGTGCGAACGAAAAAAAAAACATTCATTTATTTCGTTCATGTGGGTTTTTGTCACTCAAATTTAAATTCTGTTAATTTGACTTCAAAGTTAATTGATAAATTAAGAGTAAACTACGATCTCCACTTACAAATATGCACAAAAATACCAATAGATCCATTTTTCTCAAATTGGTTTTTTTTCACAGGCAGTGTCAAGTATAAAACGTTCTCGAAATTCAAACAGCTTTGCAGTCAGGAGCGGATTAAGGGGTCCCCCTTTTTACTATTTTGGAATATCCATTTTTGGCTGAGTGACCCTAAAACTTTTCTTAAGGCGCCTTTGGCGCCAGAATATACTAATTTTGATGGTGTAGCGCGCGCCGAAAAAGCGCGATTTTTTTGGCCAAATTTTTTCAAAATGTGCCCTAAAATGCCTCTTTTGGCCTGTTTTTTCAAAATTTCAAATTTGCCTAAAATAGGGTCTTTATAATGCTTTGGGAGAGCTGGGAAAATCAATTAACTTGACCAAAAATTTTTTTGAAACACAACCCCCCCGTCGAGAAAATCATAGATCCGCCCCTGTTTGCAGTGATGTTTTGTTTTCAAGGAAAAATGCGCGGTTTCTGGAAATCTTTTAATTTTAAGTGCTAATCATCACTTGTTTATTCCAGACTGATCATAATTCAGGCTGGTCCAACTATCTATTTTAGCAATCTTCGGAGTGGTATCGCCAGCATCATCCGAGATCTGAAGGAGGCGAAGTTGGGGAAGGAGTGTGGGGGGAATATAGAGGACAAGGACACTGCTATGACCTGGCACTTCTTCCACGTGCCCCCAAGTGAGGAGGCGGCGTTGGTGGAGAAGGCGAGTGAGATCGTGAGGAAAAACGGATTCCCCGTTCTAGAAGGACACGGATGCATTGAGGTACTTCATCATTACTTAAGTCTAAAAACGTATGCTTCAATTTTTTTCATGATAGATATCATGATGTTCATATATGAACATTTGAGTAAATTTAGCAGCTCGCATGTTAATTGAATGAATGTGTTTCTAAAGTTTTCATTAAAAGAGCATCAAAGTTTCATTCAATTTAATTTTAAAAATTGGTCAAAAATTAGGTAAAAAAACTTAAGTTGAAATTTTTAGTCGACATAAATCGCAAGCGGCTTCTAACGAGCGAGAGAAAAAAGTTCATGGCTTTTGAATTAGCTTTGTATTTGTTTTTTCGATTTTTGCGTTGTTCTCAAAAATTGCATCAAACTTCACGACTTCGTTGTCACCTGTGTTCAAATCAGATTTTTTTGGAACGGTTCACAATGACGACTCGCAATTGAGAAAATTCATGAAAGGAAGGAAGGATAAATGGCGTATTTTTTTTATTTCCGATTTTGACTGAATTTTCAGTTTTCAGACTAAATTAGACAAAAATTTAGAGACCGATCTCCCTGTCCTCTACAATTTTAACATTCTTTTACATCTTCAATTGTTGTTTTATTTTTGCATTTTATATATTTTCATTTTTCAAAAAAACCGGAAGTTTTTTAAAGAAAAGCGTGGTTTGAAGATTCTGTGCTGCTTGCTATCCTTATTTTCTTAATACAAAAAAGCGACGTCTGTTCAAGCAGGTTTTTTTGATAATTGTTTGTCAGGTGAGACATCCGCATATCACCAAAGGAGACGCCATGAAAAAGATACTCAACGAGCACGTCTCGCCCATCTGGCACGAGACTCACTCGGTCATTTTCATCGGCGACAGCTCCTCCGACGAAATGGGATTCGCCACATTGCTCGACGACAAACACTTCCCCAGCGACTGTGTCACCTTCATCAAGATACAATCCGATAGTACACTGCCAACTAATGGAAAATACATATTCTCCGGCTGCGATGACGTTTTTGCACTACTCAATGCGGTCAAAGACCACTACTCGAAACAAAATACTCAATGAGCAACAAACTATTTATTTAAGAGGAACAAATTTATTTTACAAAGTATTTTTTATAGTTTCTTGTATGATAGTTTTTCATGGAGACATTTGTTTGCCACAAAAGAAAGATTCGCAGTAAGTTGCCTAAATTTAGCATAGTTAGTATCATGTGTGGATTTGGAAGAAGGTCATCCCTGAGAAATACTGATCTAGCCACCATCCAAGGATCTGCCTTTAGAACTATTTTAGGGCTTCCATTTTTCGCCAATGAACCCCAAATTTTCTCGAAAGGCGTAATCGCTGGCAAGGTATATTTGAGGTTTGGGAGAACTGCTCACAAATGAATCATTACACTTGCGACAGCAAGTGTCTAGTAATCGAGCACTCAATTTTTTTCCCGTAAACAACTTTTTTACACATTTGAAATTGATGTTGCTGTTTATCGTTTCTTTGCATTTTTAAGGCCCCCTTTTTCGGCCTGGAAGTAATGCACCATATGGCTTGGGTTTTGAGTTATGTTCGGACCTTGTTTTTTTACAGTGTCTGAAAGTGAGTTATCTGGAAAAATTGAGTAGTCGTACTAGTTTGTCGGCTTGTTTTGTCAATCTAATTGCCTTACCGCGAATTTTTTTGAGCTGTTTGCATTGTAGTCTTAAGTGTCGTGGATTAGCTCCTGTAAATTTTGCTAATGACATACATTTCCATTTTTTTCGTGTTTTTTTTCGCTTACAAATATTATTCGGCCTTAATAATTTTGGCTCGTGTTTTGTCCGTTTAGGGATTTTTTTGCATTAGCTTAAGAATAAAAATGATTATTCTTCTTTTGTAAAAATCAATTCGACTGCTAGTATAGAAGTTCAAAGTGAAATTTTTTACTTTTTTATGATAACATTTTTTTTTGGCTTTTTTGTTTTCGGATCAATTAGCTTCTAACCACGTGTTGTCAGCTTAGTTAACGCTGTTAACGCTCGGAAAGTACCTAGAGCTTGTTTGATGCCAGTAGTTATGTTTTTCTTCAGTTTGAAATTTTCGCATTTCCAAAAAAAAAATTTTTTTCAAGTTTTTTATGACAAGTTTCTTTCAGCTTTTTTTGTTTTCGGATCACTTGAAATCTAGTCACGTACGTCTTTCTGGCTTGGTGAACGTTCGGATAATACAAAAAGCTTAATAAATGAATTGTATTTTTTGTCCGTTTTTTTTGAGATTGAGTTTTTCGTATTTCCAAAAGGAATGTTGATTTTTGTAATTTTTTTTTACTCAGTTATTTCCATCATAATGTCTATTTAGTAGCTTGCAATGCTACGCGTTCGTTTTATCGCAAGTGATGCAAGACTCCACTTCGTCTCTTTGTAATAACTAAATCAAGCATTTCTGCAAAGAAATAAAACGAGCAGATCATTAGGCTTACTGATTGAAATTTTTCGGATCTTTCTGAAAATTTGAATATCAATTAGCATCTGAAAACTTTGTTTCTATCTAAATCGGAAATCAATTTTTTTGTTTTTTTTTAAATATGTTTTTTTTTCTTCAATTTTTGTCCCAGCAGAGCAAAAAAGTATTTACATGGCAGCTATCATTACCCTTGCGATAAGACTTGTTTTCCTTAAATAACTTTCTTCACAGAAATGTAAAAATTAGAAATGCTAGAGTCAATTTTAGATTCAATTCATATTAGGTTTAAAATTCTTTGCGTCTCCGGCTAATTCTTTGCGTCCCCGGAATACGCCTGGGACGGCAAAATCCTGGATACGAATCTGACAGGACCTGTTTCTTTTTCATACGGGAAACATAATCTTTCAAAAAAAGTTGTCGGCCTATTATTTGTCAGTTTATGTTTTGTCGGGTTAATTGCCGCATCGTCTAATTGTTTTTTTTAGCTGTACACAATGTATATTGTAGTTGCTTTTAGTGTTTAATTTATTTGTGCTGTTTCTGTTTTCTTGACTTCGTATTAATTTTTTTTTGTTCACGTTCTTTCGACACATTTTATCGACTTAGTGGCCTGATTTGGAGTCTTCTTAAAGGAAACATAATTATTGTGCTCCTTGAATGCACAATTTGCTGAAATCTTAGCAGCAGTTATTGTTTCAAATTTTTCGTGTTATCATTTTTTCGCGTTTTTTCCTTTTTTTTCGGCTTGAAAGGTTTTTGTCCTAGATTATATCAGCTTAATAGCCTCATATTGCGTTTGTTGACGAGCGAAATTTATTTTGTGTATCTGATTTAAGGGTGAGGGGAAATAACGTTTTTTAAAAGACAGAAAATTTTTGGATTTTTTTTTTTGGTTTTTCTTTTTCCTTTTTTTTCTGCTTAATAGGTTTTGGCCTATATTGTATCGGCTTAGTGGTCTCATGTTATTTCATTTCAAGAGCCAATAAAATTTTTTTCTGTGTTTTGAAGGTGAGTGGGGTTTAATGGTTTTCTGATTTTGTATCACTTGCGGTGCGGAGCGCAGCTTTCTCTGAATCAATTTTTTGTTCCATTTGGATTTCTTCGAATGTTGTGCCGTTTGGGCATTCGTGTGAGTTCTGATTTTTGTCAGGTCGATTGAAAATTTGCTTTAAAATTGCTTGTGAAATAAATTGAATAGGAAACAAAAGTGCAATAAATTATACCTCACTATAATTGAGAACTTATTTCAACATAGATTGCTGAGATCAATTTCAAAAAAAAAATTACCGACCGTTGACTGTAAATGAATACTCAGACGAAACTTACCACTTGAATTTTGGTTTGCCTAAATCAAGTTTCAAGTTTTTAAAATTGAGACGTATAGAAAATTAGATTTAATGTCCAGTTTGCCTGCCTTTTTCTTCCGACTGATGAAAAAACTTGCGCTCAAAGTGTTTTACGCGCTTTTTTTGTGATCTGAAAGTTAGCAATGCCCTGAGCTTATAAATGAATAAATCAATCAATTTGGAGCGAAACAAATTAGTCCAAAATGAGTTCAGGCAAGTAATTTGGATACATGTGAACGTTTCCAGGCGCAAAATTTATAACTTTGTACTTAACATAGAAAAAAACTGATTAAAAACCTTTTGTTTTTCTTTTTCGATTTTGACAATCAATTTTTTTTAATCTGAAAATTAAAAGACAGTAGAAAATTTGAAGCGTTCTCTGATGCGAGCAGTTTTCTTTCAAATTCAACGATTTTGATTACCGAATAATGCGCTGCGCAGAACACTTTCCGTCATTTTTTCAGCTCCAAACATAAAATCTTTAAAACGCGTTTAATTTAGTTCAAAATATTTTCTTACATTCAGGTCTTTGCACTTGTACGACCAAGTTTGTTATCATTTGAGCCTTAATTGAAGCAACATTGCTGGTATCAGGGCAAGACTTTGAAAGTTGTCACTGCCTCGTAAAACCAATCAAATTAAATTTTGATGAAATTTAAAAAAAAAAAGATAAAACCCTAAAATAAATTGAAAAAAATTTTTTGAATATTTTTTTAAAAAAATAAGAAAATAAGATTGTATAGTACAAAAATATATAATTGGCGTCTAGCAACGTAGTAATAATTTCAACTAGCTTGCTTCAAATGAAAATGGAACGAGTTCTGAGCCAGGTGAAATCGCAAAGTGCACCACCCAGAAATTAGGCACCACCCGGAAATGATTCCTTGGACTGAAGACGAGACAAATGTTGCACATAAAACGAGACAACTGGAAAACTAAAAGTTATAATAATTTGCATAAGAAGAAATCTTCATTGAGCCGCTAATGAGGCAGAATTGAGACGAATTGGATCGATTTCTGTTCAAAGAAAGTTGCGTAAGCTCAAGAACAAATGAAAATACATTAGCAAACAATGTGCGAGTTTTAATAAAATGCACATAAAATGTTACATGAATTATGCGCCAAGTATTAGAAAAAAACCTGGTACAACCGCCAGGGGCGGATCTAGGATTTTCTCAAGGGGGGGGGGGGCAAAAAATTCAAAATTTTGTCGATTCTCCCCGAGCTCTCCCAAAGAACTATCAAGATCCTTTATATTTACTTAAGCATTTTTCCCTATGGTATTTACTGAAGAAATTGGCACAAGAGCGTTCTTATAATTCGAATTTCAGTAGTTACCCCTTTTTGTTGATAGGAGATAGTAATTATTTTTAAAAATCCAATCTTTTGACCAACTTTAGTCGCCATAGGCAATATTTGAAAAAAAACCGGCCAAAAAAGGCTCCCTCCTCAAAAATAGTATACTTTTGTATACTTTTGAGCACGATAGGCAAACTTTGACGAAAAAAAACGCGAAAAAGGCGTCATCAGGCACTTTTTGGACAGTTTTGACCAAAAAATCGTGTTGTTTTGGCGCACGCTCTCAAGGCGCTTTTCGACATATTTTGGGGTCAGCCAGCCTAAAGTGGAGGTCTTAACGATTACTAAAGGGGCATTTTGGGTAGTTAGTGGGTCGAATCTCTGGAGAAATGAGCACCTGCACCAGCCACCTCCCGCCGCCGCCATTTTACTATATAAATTTTAAATTGGACTAGGAAAGCATGTTTTTTGATTGTATAAATATCAAGCTTGTCCGTAACTTCTCGATCCACCTCACCCCACGGGGTATTTTCTGTTTCCCTCCGTTTCCCTCCATTCCCGTTCCTGTTTCCCTCCATGGATTCCCTCATTTTCTCAAAAGCATAAACAACAGCTCTATTTTGACAAATGAATTTTCTTACCAGGATTACATAAGCATAAAGGTAATATCATCAGTCAGTGTCGGAGTGACTGAAATGAAAGATTCAGACCTTGACCAAAATCTTCAACAAACTTCCATCGAAAAGACAGTGACGTTCCCGTGACCTTCACCCAGTTATTGCAAAAAAAACACAGACATAACACATTTTTAACGTTCAGCCTATGAAAACTCAAGTGGTGAAAACTTCCACTCAACCTACCTCCACGGTCCACCCACGAAAAAATCGAACCACGAATTCTGAAAGCGTTCTTAAAACTGTATAAACATGTTTACAGACTTAGATTAAAGAGACTCCTTCGTGGCTTTTAATAGTTTTTCGGAACTTAAATATACAAACATCTCAGCTATAAAGTTTTGTAATAAGTTTCCCTATGAGAAAAAAAGAATAAAAATTAAAGATATTTCCATCTCGCATCAGATGAGAGAAACTAATAGTGCATCTAGTTGTATCTGGCAATTTAATTACTTGGCCATTTGCATATTTTTTTTCCAACTCTTTGCGTTTACTCTCAGTCTCATATGCATATTTGGCTCTACAACGAGATGCGTAAATATTGAACATTTTCTACTTCATCTGCAAAAGGAAAGTTGTGCTAGGTAATTGAAAAATTTTACGGGTATTAACGAAGGTATCAAAATTGAGTGCGCCTTCATTATTTACGCATATAAGAGGGTAGTTATAGAAAAGCGAAACGCTAGAAACTATAATTTGCTTTTTATTTTTACGACCACCAGTTCAGCATTTCAGTTAGAATCCTCTTATTTTTATACCAAAGGTAGAAACACAAAAAAAGAAGCTGCTGTAAAATAAGATCAAAAATCGTAGCATTGTAAAAATTGAATTATTTTGACAATCGTCTCGGCTCAATTATCGGTGCATGATCCATGCATTGTTTGCACAAACACAATACCTGAGAATAATCCATTTTCCTCATTTTTACAATGGCATTATATTGCATTGCTTCCCGCTTTGTTTGTAGATTTCATTGGAACATTTTAAGCTGCTGGGGCTACCTTTCAGAGCCAACCCATTTCTGGTATCGATAGCTGTTTTTTTTAAGGTGGCTCTTTTTTGTATCAAGCAGTAAGAAGCAAAAAGGACTATAAGACGAAAGTGTCGGGCAGCAGTAAAGATGTAACATTTAAAATGTTCATGAAGTTTTGAGATGTGAAGATTTTTAAAAACTTATTTGACTTCTTGGATTTTACGCATTAACTGTCAAAAAGTGCTGATCGACTTTGCAACCGATAAAGCTCGTCAAAGCAAAAAATACAAAAAATGGCACCCTTCGTTCTTAAGTTAAAAACTACCCCCGTAGAAAGTGAATACCAATTATATAGATATCTTAACATGGAGAAGTTTTTTGGATATTACATTGATGTTTTATGGATGGATGATTTTTATAGAGATACTTTCTGGTATTTCATGATATGATATTATATTTGTTGAACAGTTTGTGTATGTTGTGACTTGAATGTGACGGACTACTGGTTTTTTGAAACCTGCTTACCCTTGAACCACCAAATTTTTCAGCGGTAGTTCAGTTTTAGCTGTTAGCTTAATTGCCCTTAAGGAGGTTTCTCCCCAGTTTGAGTGCCGACATCTTTTGTTTGCATGGAGGGTTTTAATTTTCCCTGTAGCTCAAGATTTGTTGGTTGATTTTATAAATGGGTTAACAATAAACTGGCCCCGTCATCTTCAACATAGCAAAGTGTAACATTGCACGTCTTTTTTATTAGCACAACCAACCTGGTTATGTTAATTTTTTTTACGTTGAGTCGTCCTGTGATGTGTAAAATTATGCGGCACATATTCAATGCAATGCTCCTGACACACTCAATAAATTCCTTCTTTTTCTTTCCAAATATAAAGCGTGTAGCTATATACTACAATACCTGCTGCATTATCTTTTTTTTCTTTTCTAACATGGTACTAATACAACTATAGTATTCCTTTGTTTTGCAAAATTGAGAACTGAGTAGATTTTTTTTACAAATGCTGTGAATTCTCATTTGATTGCAAACATCTGCGATTTTAGCAGATAAATACACGCAATTTACTTCATTGCCATTTTGAAAAGGTTGCTTTTGCTGCTTTTCTCATCATTATATGCCATAAAAAATGGTATTGATTAGACCATTCAACGACTAACGCTATCACCCATCTTTGTCCTATTTAAATGACGTAAGTGGTGGAATTAACAGCCTGATAATTGAAATTTGACAACTCTAATTTATCTTAAATGCTACCTTATTTTTTGTTACCTGATATTGAAATTGTTCTGACGTCATTTAGGTTTTAATTTTACCGACGACCAAAAATCTCAACTTTAATTGCCATATTTGTACATCGTGCTTCGAAATGCTTTTCCCATAAACTTGTTCATTAACCCCATATTTACCGGGCAAAATATCAGAGCAAAAAACCCCACATTTACCGGGTAAGTTGAAAGCTTCCCTTACGCTAAAAAGCCTCATTATTGAGTTACCACTTATGGTATGGATTCCTTCGAGATTAAATACGAGTCGTTGGCTTCCATTGGAATCGGATGCTACTCCGAGGTGTTCAAAGTCAGGAGCCGAGCCCACGACGACTGTGAGTAATATTTCGGCGTATTAAAACCTTAAATCGTTCTGCCAAATAGAAAAAACTGAAGCCCTTCATGAACGAAACATTAATTTACTTTGAGCTCAACTTCTGAGGTTGTTTTCAGCTATGAAACAAATACTTTTTTGCGCTCAACCATCATTGGTTTTGATTCGAACTTAATGAAAAGATTTGATTATCTGCGGGTCTTTATATTTGATTATCATGTAATTTACCAGGGAATTTTGCGAGGCTTTCCTAATTTTGTCACTTGGGCTCATAATTTTGATCACTTTTTAATTTTTGATTTGATAATGAATTTGCTCAGAATCTTTGATACTCTAGGCGACGAAAACTCTATATCAAATTGTGTGATCAAAAGTACAGCGCATTTTGGGATAAAAACCAATGAAGTTATTGCGGGAGTTGAAATCGAGTTAGGTTAATTTCAGGGGCGGATCTAGGATTTTCTCGAGGGGGGGGGCGGATTTTCAAAAAATTTTCGAAAATTTTTTCGATCTTTTTTTCTTAGATCGACCAAAATGATTTTTTGAGCTCTCCCTAAGCCCGGTTTAGTCCCTGTTTTGGCCAAATTTTCTGCGCGGCGGGCAAAATTTAGAAAAAATAGTCCAAAAAAGGCGTTTTCAGGCAGTTTTTGGAAAATTTTAACCAAAAAATCGCGTTTTTTCGGCGTGCGCTCCCCCTTAAAATTAGTATATATTGGCGCCAAAGGCGCCTTTAGAAAAATTTTAGGGTCGGTCGGCCAAAAATGGATTTCTTAAAAAGTACCAAAGGGGGGACCCTTTGGGTCGGCAGGGGTTCGAATCCCTTTTCGCTTGTCGCTCCAATTTATATTATGTTAGTCCAGCTTCTGTTCTCCAGTTTTTCGCTCTCGTTAGATTCTTAGAAAAAACGGCCAAATACAAAATTCTGATTTTTCATAGACGGAAGAACACTGAACAGCAAGAAACCGAAGAATGGCTTCTACATGCACATCGCGTCACCTTCTCGTAAAATTGCCTATTTACACATCCACTATTTAAACAGCAGAAGCTATATCTGCTTAAATGAAGCGCAATCAGGCAAGGGTGAAGCAATAACGTCCTGGGTCGAGGTGCTCGATTTTTGTTTCGACTTTCTCGACCAAAAACTGGCATGTTTCGACCATCTCGGCCAAATTTTGCTATGTTTTGATTTTCTCGGCCAAACTACGGTATTTTTTGACTTTCTCGACCAAATTTTGGTATGTTTCAATTTTCTCGACCCGACAAAAAAATTCGACTTTTTCCAACCCAGTTTTGATGTTTCAACTTTTTTGATCAAAGTTCGAAACTTTTCGACCTTCTCGAATGCCTGGACCGACATTTTAAAAAGTTTATTTGTAAGACCCCGCATAGATATATTTCGGCTTTCTCGAACAAAATTGGGTATATTTCTACAAACTACACTATAAAATACAATCGGTTGAAATCAATTTGATTGGCAATTAAATGGTGTTTGATAAAATATTAATTGTACAAGTGTTTATTTTGCACACCCATGTTACACCGATGTTTTTTATTTTATTTGACCTTTTTGAGGTTAAAACTTTACCTATACTGACCATTTTCATGCTTTTGTCAAAATTGGACTAAAGATAATGTTCATGACTTAATTGCATATTTTGAGCTTAATTTTTTTGTGGAAGTCTGCATAAGAATCGATTTTGCAAATTTTGTTATATATCAATTGACGTCGCACAAATGGGGTTTGAACAACGTAGCCGCCTTATCTTTCAAAACGTTTGTAGAAGTTTTGGAGTTGGCTCGCAAAGTGGGATTTATTTTCTTTTTTTTCGGACCTGCTTAAGATGCATCATTTTGCAATCATGAATTTTCAGATAGTTTTACTCAAAGTTTTGAAAAAAAAATTTCCTCTCTGAAGTAATTTCGCAATTTTTTCCTCATTTGTTTTTAATGTTTTTTTTCTATACCATAGAAGAAATTTTTAAACTATCCCTTTGCAAGTATGGATTCCCAACATTTTTAAGACCCATTCCTGCTTGCTTTAGTGGCTTGAGTCCTACTCGCAGGTAGGTTTTTGTGGTTTTAGAGTTTGAGTCCTACCCGCAGTTTTTTTTTTCGATATGTAAAAAAACGAATTTTTTTCTGAGAAATTTGATTGGTCGAACTATCTTTCGTCTTTTTTTTCTTTGTCGGCTCAAGTTCCAAAGAATCAAACTTTCTTCTGATTTAATCAGTTTTACTATGATTGAAGGTTGTTCTGTAATTCAAAAAATTACCGAAAAAATTGTGAACAAGTTCTTTTGTGTTTTGGTTGCGCTTAAATGGTTTCGGCTTCTTTTATGTTGCCTTATTTATCTTGTCGTTTGAAGAATAGAAACCATTTTTTTGGCTTGTTTGTTTGAGAAGGGTCGGATGTGAAAAATTTGGGGGCATCATCGAGTCTCAAAACTTGATAGTTCGAAATTTTTGTTACAACGATAACTTTAATGAAGTTTTTGTTTTCGGTTAAACGGTCGTCTACTTGAATATTTTCGGCTAAATGGCCGTTCGGTAAAGAATACTTGAATGTGTTTTCGTTTTATTGAAATCATTTAAGAAAAATGTCATTCACGTCATTCAAACGTCATCTTCTCATCTTTCACACACATCCCTGTCTCGCAAAACTGTTAAAAAGTAACCATCTGGGAGAAAAGCGGTAACTGCTGGGTAAAATAGGCTTTACAAAGCTTTCATGTGCTTCAAATATTGTGAACTGAGGGAGAAAACGAAAACATGTAGCGGGTCAACTTAACACCACCTTTTTGACTTTTTGAGAACTTTTTTAGATACTTGCGTAAAGTATTATGAGGAACGCTGTTTTGGAGCAGCGTTCCTTAGAGTAGAAATGTGATTGCGAATAGGAAATTGACAGAACATCTGTAAGTCGTCATGTTATAAGCCTATTTCATTCTTTTTCTACACATCGGCTTTCAGCAATTTTTCACAGAGAAGAAGGTAAGATAAAAATTCAGTAGACGAGAAAAACTTTCTGGAATAAAACGATCGGGCTATTTTCCCCACCTCCAATTTTTTCAAAATAAAACTTTTGTTCACACAGATCGAGATTAGAAAAAAGTAGCATGAGAACTAATTTTGTATTACAATCATGTTTTATTTTCATGTTTAAACTTGTACAGCTGTTCATTACCTCATGAAAGGGGTGCTTATGTGAGGTGGGGGAAAGTCAAACATGAAAAAGTTTGAACAGCTTCTGTTTTTTTTTCCAATAGTATGACGCAGTTTTCTCTGGCCGCGTAACTTCACAGCTCACATAAGATACAACTCTACTAAATTTAGCAAATGCGGCAACTTGCTAAATCCCACTGCGTGCAAAAATCGTGGTAGTTTCTCAATCATCTCATAAAATTAAAAACCTCTTTAAATCTAATATGTTTACTTTGTAAGAAACTCGTGTGATAAACGCTCGATCATCTAAAAAACATAAATCTAATCTCTGTTTCTACTTTTGCCATAGCCCTGTTTGCGGCCAAGAAGATCCCAGTGAAGTATCTGAACTGTGCGGACTCCACTCTTCTCAAGGAGATCGAGATCCTCAAGATGATCACTCACTCCAACATCGTATCCCTACTAGACTACGCAGCTTCAAGTAAGACTATTTATCCGTCACTAGAGAAAGGATCAGTATGCGAGCTGTCAAGCTATTTATGGAGAACCGCTGTTGTGCTCTTGGTTGAGAAGTATATGCAACTTTTTTTGAGCAGGGTAATATTGCCTCACCCTCTAGCAATCAGCACGAGTCATGCAGATCATGGTGGATTTCGAACCTCCGATCTTTTGGATCGATGAGCGGTGATAGTCAAATTAAAAAACATTCCCCTTTAATTTCATGCTGTTGAGCTCTGTATGCATAAGTCTCAGTATAGCTTTTGCTGCACTAGATATGCCCAATAATTAATGATTATAACTATAAGCGCATACCTATGAAGATTCCAAATATCTGCTGGTGGCTGGGTGTGAAAAAATAAATTAGTGGAATTTTGATGGAATATTCTAACACCCCCAAATATACACCCCCATAAAGGTCTAGTTCGACAATTATCATATGCGAATGTTCGTAAAGAATTTCATGATCCATCCTCTTTTTCAGAGGTAGCGGCTAGGGAGTTTCAAAGAAGTTGATTTCGTTATATTTCTATGCGCATAACGCAAAAGACTGTTTAAACTTTTCCTTATCTTTAATAACGCTGGTGATTTGAAAGCGTTTATAAATCGGAATATAGAATTTTTCCAGTTTAACAACTTGACAAACAGAATAACTGAATCAATTTGTCGAGAACTTTTTCGTCAACCAACGGACAATTTTGAGCATGTTTATTTACATTTAAATATCCTTTGTATTCGAATTTTGTTTTATTTTGGTTGTAGATTTAGCAAGTCCGATTTTGTCTAAATCATTTTTTGTGATTTTTTCTGCCTAAAACGTATATTCGTTGCATCACGGTTTCGGCTTACGTTACCTTTCGGCTTAATTGCCTCATATTGCGTGTTCAAGGGTGACAGTTTTTAATGCGAGCATGTGCTTTGGGCAGGGGGAGTTCCAAAATGTTTTGAATGTCAGGCTTTTTTATGGCAAAATTTTTTTGGCTCAATGGTTGTCTTCCAGAGCATTGCCGCTTCTTTACCGCTTCATAAAACTCAATTTAATGCTAATTTAACGCTGGCATTTGACTTTTTCAAATGTTGTCCCCAAAATGAGCTTTATTTGAGCTAAACTTATGAAAATTTCTCGTTAACTTTTTTCAATTTCGTGGATTTGTCGTCTCATTTTCTTTCGCTTGGCTAGCTTGCCATGCTATGCTTTTGATGTAGCACAAGCTGTGCAAAGATACTGACTGCTTCACCTCAGTTGTTTTTTAAATGGCACATAAAGGTCAAAATTTTGCAAATGTGATTATTTTATGGGGGCTGATTACATTCTATAATCCTATCATCACGATTGATTAATTTTTGCTCTGATCACCATCTATGCTCTCATTTATCAAAAGGATGACGTAAACGGAATGAGTTGAAATTTCATTGAGTTAAACTAATTTCCTGTCCTACTTAGTTGCACAGTAGGCAGCAGTGGGCAGGATTTAATCTATCTGATCTCTAGTTACCAGGTGAACTTTATTGACATTTAGTTTTCTTTGAAGTATTTTGACCAAAGAGGTTAATTGAAGCAAAAATTATACTATTTTGCATCTCTTCGCGTGGTAGAACGTTTATCAAATATTTACTGTGAAAAATTCACTTTGAGGAAATCATAAGTTTGTTTAAGGCTTCGGTTATATGAATCTTTAATCATTAATCCCTCGATTGAAATGAAATTTTATTTTGAGGATTTTTTTCTTTTAGCGCTTTTGTGGATGTAAAAAATGTAAAAGTGTAAAAAATTTAAAAGACAAAGGTTTTAATAAAGATATTGCAATGCCCAGCAATTAAATTAGACAGTTTTGTTCAAAAACTCAGAGACCTATATCTACATGATTCTGATTTTTGTTCAGAAATTTTTTGGTAAAAACCACATTAAATTTTTTGGTAAAACTGGGTTGAATTTTCTAGATGACTAACTAGCTTGCTTCATTTTGAGAAATCATGAATAAAAATCCTTGGTCTTTTTGATTTAGATCTACATCAACAAAAACGGTTTATGCAACTTTTTAGGTTTCAATTGGATAAAAACAAAAAATATGGATTCTGATTCTCTCAAATGGCACCTGCAAACAGGCTTGCAGCCTTACGGTGACCATTCGAATAGGCGCTGCCAAAATTGTGCATTTATAATAAATAATTTCTGTAATATGCCTGATTCGTAAACGAATTTATTATTATTTTTATAAAAACATATTAACTAGTGAAATGATTTTCTTTCAGACGACTTCATCTATTTGATCATGGAATTGGCAGAAGGTGGTGATCTGTTCGAGAGGATAGTGTCCACGGGGAAGTTCTCTGAGGCAGACACGAGGAGGATCACGCGACAGATGGTGGACGCATGTGCCTACTTACACAGCATAGATGTAGTTCATAGAGGTATTATAATATTTAATATCAGTTCCCACAAAAAGGAGGAGCAACAATAAATCAATTAACCTAAAGCGAATCATCGCCAATTAGATTAGTTCATTTCAAAGTAAGTGCCCTCGAGGGCACATGTTTTAAAGAAACGAACTGATCTATTCCGTGGTTAATCAATTTATTCTTTCTCCTCTTTTTTGTTTCCTAAGGCTACTGAAGTGAAGAAATGCAAGGTGAATGCGAGGAAACATCAAGCTAAAAAGCATCACACAGCCATCTATCTAATCACACATATTTGAAAATATACCTTACGCTTTGAGTGAAATCTTCATTAATTTTAATGATCCTTAAAGGTTAATGGAGCTGTCACTGAAAACGTAAGGTGTATTTTCAAGCGCGTGATGAAATGTCTCTATGATGCTTTTATCTGGATGCTTCCTCTCATTCATCTTTGCATACACACCTTTGCTCAGTTAAAAGCCATAGGCATAATCTGAATGTTAAAATTACGCTTAACTAAGCTATATGGTCAAAATACAAAATCTCGCGTTGCAAATTGCAGTGCCCATGCAATGTCGATCCAGCAATCATATTATTGCTAGGCAAGCAGGAGCAACAGTGCAATCCCCAAATGATGGCTACTTACGTATTTACGCAACCCCCCCCCCCTCCTCAAAAATTGATATATGGCTTTGAGTCGAATACCATATCACCCAATAAACAAAATTCATAATCAAAACAGAACTGAAACGTTGAATCACTGAAGTTTGTATGAATTGCATATTTACCCGAAATTATTTTCAAAATTATTTTTCCGACCATTGAAAATGTGGATGAACTTTGAATTCGGATATGTTTTAGTTTTTTCTTTTTTTTTGTTTTCCCCGCAAAATCAGGTACCACAAACAATCATCAGACTAGGTTGAGTGATATATCATATTACAGCCCTTTCAGTCGTAATTCGAACCACATTAAAAAATTCCAAGCAATTTTTTCCAGTGTCGAGAAAAACCGGTTTGAATTTTTTGATTTTTCGTCTAATTTTGGCTGTTTACAATATCTTAATTATGCCTAACTTTAATTTTCACTCGTGTAAAATTAGTTTTTGAAGATTTTTAGCGCCATTTTTGTCATTAAAAACTTCAAAATTTCTTTGTTTGTTTTTCTAGTCATTGTTCTTCAAAAACTGTTGTCCGGTTTGCCTATAATGGCTATCCTTTTATCACACCACGCAGAAAAAGCTACACTAAATTGAAAAAAAAATTTGGCAGATTTTGTACAGATTATGGTTCGAACATTCTGTGCTACTTGCAGAGTAAGCGGCTATCCTTGGTACTTGTTTGGCGAGGCATTTATACGGTAAGCCACCTAGGGGGTCACCATTAGTTTTTGACAAAATACTTTCAGATGCGACACTAGTTTCGAGGTCTCATTGTTGTTCCGACTTTGGAGGGAAGTGACGGAATCTTTGTGCTCTGAAGGTTTTTCTCCTGACAAACTTCGACATTTTACTTTCTTGCGAGAGCAAGTGCGCTAAAATTGGCATTGAAATTTTTTTTTCTTACATGCAGGTTCCAAGACGTACCGGTCTTGAAACGGCTACTGCTTCATATTACATACTAATATTGTTTCAAGGTTCAAAATTGATTGAAAAAAATTCTTTCGGTTGTGTGATTTCGGTTCTATTTTTCGTCGGCCCAGTTTCTGTTTTTTTTTTAATATAATTTCTATCTTTTTATTCAGTTTTTTGTAGTATTTATAAATCAGAATACGTAGCTGGTATTAAAAACTGACTAGGTTAAGAAAAAAAACGTCTGAAGTTCAAAGCCTGGCCGGCTCATTTTTTCAACGTATGTGAAATTGAAAAACGAATTGTCAGGCTTCTGTTTGCCTGCTCATTTTTTGTTGGCTTGATTTTCAAAGCGTTGAGTTTCGTTTCATTTGAACAAAATTTTCTAAAATCGACAGTATTTTTGGCGTAGTGGCTGCTCGGTAAATGATAGTAGAAGCTCATTTTATGTTTTAATTGTGTTTCTCAAAAATTGAGTTTCATTTCAATTTTTTTAGTTATCTTCATTGTTTTTGTCAAATATATTTTCAATCAATGTTTTTTTTTCTTCAATAGCTTGCATAGCTACGCTTGCGTTGTATCACAAGTAAATTAGCTTCTGTGTAAACTAGCCAATTTTGAAAAAAAAACATTTACATTATTTGAAATTTTTTTATGTCTTTAGCTAAAACTCAAAAAATTTTGAGCTACATTTTTTTTGTAAGCTTATAATTTTGAAAATTGCCAATTTGGCTACAAATAACGCGCAAAATTTTAAAAAGCAGTCGTTTTCAAGCTTGAGCGGAAAATGACATCATTCCAAATTGAAAGAGGCAGTTAAGTTGCTCCTATTAAAACATTATCCCAAAATATATCTTTTTCTACTCTAATTTGCGAGCAAAAAAAAAATAAATTTAAGAAAAAAGTTTCAAACTATAAATCAAAAAACATTGATTATATTATCAATAGTGTAGCCAAAAAAATTTCATCGTCATCAAAGGGCAGCCGGTACTTTCTGGGCTTAGCGCTAATATGACCAGTTTTGTTTTTCTTTGCGCCTAATTAGAAGCAAGACTGCTCATACCAGGGTAAATTTCTGAAGTTTCCATTTGTTTCTTAAAAACTAATGAAAGTAATGTTTTTCATGAAATTTAAAAACTGATAAAACTTGAGAAATTTTGAAAAAAAGAACTGTTTGAATCTAGCAACGTATTTATAGTTCCGCAAAGCTTGTCTCAAATCAAATTGGAACATTTTCCGAGCCAGGTTAAATCGCCGCGCACGCATTAAAAGAAATAGCACGAAATAAATAGCGCGTCAATTGTACCTAATTAGCCAAAATGGCAATTGTTAAACCGCCATAACTAAACGAAAAATTTTCACAGGTATTAATATCTTGTCAATTTTGAGCAAAGGGCATGATTAACTTTCAGATGGTATATAACCACTTTGGTAAAAATGGCTAGTTCGAATTGACACTTCACTGAAAAAAAAACACACCACGCATAATTATTTTATCTTTTCTTTGAAATTTGGAAACAACTAATCCGTCGCAGCTGTGATGATCTAAGCGCAGATTTACACGCTGCATACGCATTTTCCAAAAAAACCTGGGATATTATTAATTATTTTTCTTTCTATGACACTTTGAGAAAGAATTGAACAGTTAAACTTATACGAGTTTTGTACATTGTAACGATTTTCCTCTACACCATTTTGGGCGATCGACAATAGCTTTTGAGGTTAAAAAAAATTATGAAACATTTTTTCCACTGAACTCAAATTCATTTTTTTTGCTGCGATTGTTGCTTAAAAAGTTATCAGATGTTTACAACAAGTCAAATCGGATGAATTTAAGCGCCCTTCATTTCAGGTTTTGGATTTTCCTTACTATGCCCCCTCCATTTTGCATAAATCAAATAAATCCTTGCTGATCTGCAATCTTGGCTGTAGTTTATCTGCAATCTGCTTAAATGTGATTATCTTGCCCCGCATTCCAAATCATTCGAACTTGTTCTGGGGTCAAATTTTTTGAGCCCAATCATAAATTACTGGATGCAAAGTATATTTCTTGGTCCCGGAGGTCGACTCAAAATTGATACATTACTCAAAATAAATCTGCATTTTTCCTAAGATTTCATCAAATTTTTTTTTAATGCAATTTACCCCCTTGAGATTATCTACAGCGCAGATTGCAGATCAGCAATGCTTTATTTGATTTATATTCAGATAGATGGAAATCAGATGCATCTCTCGGGGTAGAAGCATTGTTTTTGCATATAAACTTTGTTCCAAAGGTCAGAGAATTATTTTGTATGTTCGCAATATTTTTTCGTCATAACATTTCTGGTGATCGACATAAGACACGGTAAACTCACTGCTTTAACTTTAACGCAAACAGCATTTGATTAATTAAAATTAAAATACATGATAAAACTGGCGGGTTAAAGCCTCAGTAACTACAATGACGGTTAACTGTTAGACAACTTCGTAATTTTTTTCTAAGGGCGACGGCGAGAGGCGCTTCAAGCAACCTTACCTAATATTTTTCCTAGAAAACAGAGAGCGCTCGTAATTAAGACTCCGCTCATCATTTCCTGCACTTTAATAACCAGGAAACTTTTTTAATCAGAAAGATACTTTTTCAGTAAAAATTTAAGTGCAAATGCAAATCCCTTAATTTGAAATTGGCAAAGTAAAAAAGAAAAATGAGACTTTAATTAATATTGCTTCTCATACGAATGCTACTTTAGGTGGGTTTATTTTAATGGGTACTTAGAGAGCTACAAATTATCACCTCGTGCGAGTTTTTGCCTTTTCAAAAAAGTGCAAATAGTATTGCCGCTTTAGACGAGTTGTCGCCTCGCGGCTTCTATGAAATTCTGCGTTTGTCATTAACTGCTTTAAATTGCTTTGGGCGCCAATATATTCCCAACTCGAGAAGACGGAAGCAAAAATAATTATTTGTTGTCTATAACATTCAAAAACGACTGTTTTTATCTACTGTATAAGGCAAAAAATGAAAATGAGAACTCTCATCCACCATCGTGAAAGTATTAAAACAATCTCTGTTTTACGAGGAAATAGTTTTAGTTACTAATTGAGTTTGAAAAGTAATTTTTTTAAATAAAGCAAACGAAATTAAAGTGGGGTCTCAAGTGCATCATTTGCCTTCATCTTGAGATGATATCCAAATTCATTGGAACCATTTTTGCTTCCTTGTTTATTTGAGAAGTTTCGTTACTTTTTTGAGAATTGATTCAATTTTAGTTTAAATTCAACTAATTCACTTCCGTTGTAATCAGTTTTTATGAATTCGATGTAAGAGCAAGTAAGCTTTTCACGCAAAGGGGAGTATTTGATTTCGGGAGGATTATATTTGGCTACAGCACAAAATTTTTACGAAAAGTAAGGAGGTTGCTCTCAGGTGTTTCAAACGAACACAAAAGTTTACACAGAGGCGAAGCTGAGCTTCGCACCACTTGCGGTACAACAATTATAAGGTTAAAACAGCATGGGGATGGAAAAGTAGCTACAAAGATTTCGAACGGTAAAAAAAATGAAAAAAGAATTTGAAAAAAGAAAAAAATTTTTAGAAAATTGAAAAAAGATATTGAAAGAAGAAAAAAAAAATAGAAAATGAAAAAGAATTTTTTCCACAATTAAATATATTTACGATTTTTTCAAGGAGACCTTGTTAGGCTGATATTTAGCAATTGAAAATTTAGAGCCAGATTCTTATCGATGCTTAAAACCAAACCGGAAACTTGTAGGACAAAATAAGGTAGAAAGCCGACAAAATTACAAGCGACAGTCACTGAACTGAAAATCAACAGAAAAATACTGCTACTAAAGCGCCACGAGAGTTTTATATATAGTAAATTCAAGAACCGATTCGGAAAATAAACTGACAGAGTTTAAGTCGACAACCATAAAGGACAAATTTTGAAAAACAACATAAACATAACACAGCAAACTGGCAGACAGAAAATGAGACAAGAGTCGCTAAGTTAAAAAAAAAGTTGTGCAACTTTAAAAAAATATGATTATTGCTAGAATATGATAAAAGCTTATTGCTAGAGTAAAATTGTATGCGTAATAGTTTCGTGCTCATTATCCGACCAAGCAAAATTTCCGAAAAGTTTTTAAGAAAACTAATTTGTAAGTTTTTGTTAAAAAAATTATAGCTCAATTGCTTCAATTGGTGGCTTTCAATAAGTTTGAAAAAAGCAGAATTAAAAAAAAATTCCGTGCAGCGGGAACTAAGCCGAAAAAAAAATAGAAGGACGATTGCGTGAAAAAGCAGATAATTTCTAGTAAGAAAAAAATAAATCCGGCTGGATTCTATCCACAAACCTTTTTTGGCTCCAGAATATGTGTTACCTCTACAAAAGATGCACTTGATGATTCATTGTGATAATGCACTAAAAAGCCGAAAACTGAATTGAAAAAAAAAATTTTTAAAAATGACTATTTTTTATGAATAATTTTTCTAATTGTACTACGAAAGGCTTAAGAGGTTGATTCACAATTTATGAATGGACAAAATTAAAACCAAACAAACTCAGTGCCAAAAATCTACCAAAAAATTCCGAATCTGATAAATTACAAAAAAAACAACCCCCAACGTAAACACAATACAGCAACCATGATATTAATTAACCATGATGATTACTTTTTGACCATTTTGTGACCAAAACTAATTACGGGAAAAAACTTAAGCACCCGATTGCAATACTTTTGCTGATTCCAAAAGTAGTAATATAATTGAGTATTACCTTTTCCGTGTAATTAGCACAGCATTTTCATCTTCAATTAGCACGACCACATTCATCTTTGAAAAATTTGAACGCGAAAAATAGAATTAAAATTGATGTTTGTTTTTTTGGGAAAAATTTTAGGAATTAGTTGATTAAGTTAATAGACGAAGATTGAGTAAGTATCAGGGGCACATCAAGAGTTTTCTCAATGGGGTGGGTGGAAGGATTTTCAAAAATAAAATGAAAAATTGTCGATTTTTTTTAGCTCGACCAAATTGATTTTCCGAGCGCTCCCAGAACACTACAAAGACCCTATTTCGACAAAATCTTTTGCGCCGCAGCCAAATTTTTTCAACAAAATATTGATCAAAAAAATGCATTTTTGTTTTGGCACGCGCACCCTTTCAAATTTAGTATATTTTGGCGCCAACGGCGCTTTTAGAAAAGTATTACAGTTGATCGGCCAAAAATGGATGTCGTAAAATGTTACTAAACGTGGGACCCTATGGTTGGTGAGGGGGCCGAATCCTTAAGACCCCCTTCTTCAGGGTTTCGACCCCTTCTCCAACCATAAGTTTACCCTTTTGGTAATGTTTTATGTCATCCAGTCTCGGCCGACCAACCGCAAATTTTTTCTAAAGGCACTTTTGGCCAAAATTACAAAAGGATGAGTATATTTATCTGATCTCAAATTGTACAGCAATTTTACCTAAACATTTCGAAAGAGGCGTATGAAATCCCAGCATGAAAGATCTTTGAGAGCTTCAAAAACCTACTATTAACAAGATCTATTTTCAGACCTGAAGCCTGAGAACGTGCTGTTCAAGTCAAAAGATGCGTCCTCTCCAATCATGATAACCGACTTTGGTTTGTCTGCCTTGTACACTAATGATAAGATGCTCAAGACAGCCTGTGGTACTCCAGGGTATGCTGCACCTGAAGTGCTGCAAAGAGTACCCTACAATGAAAAGGTATGAACGCGAACTTGGTGAAATGGACAAGAATGATAAACAAAGCACAATTAGAAATTACGTTTCATAAGTTCTTGAGCACAAACTACCTTTTTTGTGAGTTGGCTGAATTTCGGATCCTTGAAAAAAAACTTTTAACTACAAATCCAACTTAACCATTTAGTTAATGGAATGCAGATGAAACTTCTGAGAACGATCTTATTTTGCTATGTGTCTTATTGCCATTTGCACTTTAGGTTGACAGTTGGTCCATAGGAGTCATTACGTACATCCTCCTATGTGGGTACCCTCCTTTTTACAACGAAGAAGACAGCGACGTTTTGTTACACCAGCAAGTGCTCGACTGTGACTTCAAGTTCCACAGCTCCTCCTGGGATCACATCTCCACCGAGGCCAAAGATTTCATCAGACTCCTTCTAGTCAAAGACTTCCAAGCTAGATTATCATGTACAGATGCCTTGAGAAACACCTGGTTGCAGAAACAACCGGATTCCCATACGCTTAGCAGTCCCGAACATTCAAAAGATACTGAAGTTTCAGGTGAAAAGGGTTCGACTACGCCTGGAATATGCGAAGGAATTGCAGAAAATTCGGAAAAAGAAAGTCCAAATGTTGGTTCGAGTAGTCAAAGCAATGGACTTTTGGCACCCTCGGAAAGCATTGGAGATCGAAGACATTCCTCAGGGAGTCAGTGGCAAAAAGCGATGGATTTTGTATCTGCAGTTGAAAACTCTTTTAAATCTCTTAATTTGCTGTGATGATTTTTGCGTGATGTGATGCAATAAATTGATTTAAAAAAGCCCAATTGCTTAAATCAGTATGTTCACTTTTACTGACTGATTCAGTTTTTTTTTCATACATTGCAGCCTGTAATCATCATAATTTTTTCAAGCAAAGCCTGTTTAGAAGCTGCTTGCTCAGCAGAGTTTTCCGAACACAAAGAAAATTGGAAATGAAATTTAAAAAAGTTATTTTTTTTCTTTTGATTTTTTCTAACTTTTTGAGTTTTTAGGTGTGGCGAAAAGATTTAAAATTAACCTCATTAGCTGGAATGGGGTAAAAAACAATACTTAACTCAATTTGAGAGTCCATATTTTAACATATTTCATTATTTACGCAGCACAGAAAAAAGCTCCCTCGAAAACAGCCGGTCAACTTTGATGTGTTTCTTTTTGCTTAAAATTATTTCTCCGAAGCGTTTCAAGAAGATAATTTACCTGAGATTTATTCAAACATTTGTCTGTATCAATGGACAACCTCTGATCACGATGCAAACGTAGCAGCACATGGAAATTGTGCCATGAATACAAAAAACTTGATATTGAATATGTAAGTGATGCTGCTTAAGAGGAAGTAATAAAAAGCGAGCTTTGCCCGGGTCGAGGTGCTCACTTTATGTTTTGAACATCTCGACCAAAATTCGGTTTGTTTCGACCGTCTCGACCGAGTTTGTGCATGTTTCGATCGTGCTGACCAAAAAAACGCGCTCGACCCAAGCAAGATATGTTTCTACCGCCGGAAACTTTGGTTTCTTTGTTTGTAAGAGCTCGGAAATTTGGAAATTTGAAAAGTTATAAAAAAGATTTAAGGAACTAAAAATGTTCTTAAATTGATTTTATTGGTTCTTTCTATCTGCTACTGAAGGTTGCTTCATTAAACAACACTTAACATTTTCCGAACAAACTTTGCAAGCTATTTTTCAGTGTGATTATTCGCTTTTTGCAAAAACTGCAATGGTTTGTTCAGTATGATCTTCAAATTTCGTGCAATCCAATCAAGCAAACATTGAAGGAATAAAATCCAGCTGATTTTTTGGTAAACAGTTCCATTTGCATGGCTTAGTTAAAAAAAGTTTTAGAGGTGAATTTTTAATGATTTTCAATCTTTTAATAGCAACAAAATGACGACAAGTGTAAAAAAGTAAAATCGTTCAATTAGTAATTAGATTAAACAAAGGCCAATTCTTATTCTAAATAATAATCCATCAACAAAGAGTGATTATGTATAAATGTGTTTCTCAGAGCAAAAGAACCTATTCAGTCATAGTTTATTAGACAGCTACATTCTGGACAATGAGTAGTTAGTTGCCAAAATCCAGCAGACAAAAGAATAAGACAGTTGTCAGGAAATTCCGATTTTTTTAAATCGAAAAAACAAAACTTCAGAACTTATTTCTAACAGCTTTATAAAATTCTCAGTAATCAGTAACTCTAGCTAGAAAACACAAAAAAACGAAGTTCGATAAATGCAATTTCGATTTCTCATGTAGTACGAGTATCCATTCTGATAGCCATTGGTGTTGGTGCTATCCCACGCAGTATTATTGTCGGTGCAGGTTTGTAAACTTGTGTAAATGCCCACAAAAGGGAGGGGTCGGAAGAAAACAATTTACTTACATAGGGAAGCTGCCGATGAGATGCGATTCCGATGATTAAATCTGCCCTTTTACGTCACCGAAGATTCAAAAGTTAGAGCCCGCTGAAAAGACTTTCCGGTGGAAAAAATACATAAGTTGGGTAATCTCTGCTGACTTTGCAGCAACCTGACACTTTTTTCTAAAGTAGTTTTAAAAAATCACACATCAATTCATCAAATTAAACAGATAATGTAATGAGTTTATCCGAACAGTAATCAATAAGTAGAATTATCAGAATGAAATTAGTGGGTGCTGGATATGCTCTTTCTTGTGCTAGATATGCTCTTTCCAACCCCTCAACACTGTTGATAATATATCTTTAAAATGAAGCGCGAAATTATGTTTAACTAATCGAAATTACACTCTAAGATACAAGATACGTTAAACAAAAATGCTCCATGCCCAGTCCAGTCACCTTAAAAATATTGCCAAGATCTTGAAGATTATTCAAACATAGCAAAAAAATCTTCAAAAAACTTTCGGCTTTCTCTAAGGTGTTTAAGCGTCCAAATAACACGAATATATCCTCAGAAACGTGTATGTTACCTCCTGCAGCTCAACAGAGGAATTTATTATTTTTTGGTGAAATCTTGATTTTTTCGGAAACATTTCAATGCAAATTAATGAGCAAACACATAATCAAGCTTCTCCGAAACACCTACATCAACATCAAAACAATGTTTACAGAAGTTGTTTAAGAAAACTTCAAATAAAACTTTTTGGTCTAAATCATGTTCTTCGTTTTGGTCCATCCATTTTGGTTGCGATGTTAGTCTTTGATATTAGTTTCGTGAATCATGTTTTTTTAGAATTAACATAGGGGAGGGTGGGTGGAAAAGAGCCTGATTTTTCGATTTATGATTTATTTAGCGATACTGATTTACTTCATAACTTTGCTTCACTGATTGTTCGGACATGTGGCACAGGCGCCATTTCCAGTCATTTAGATTTAGAAGCTCTCGGCATAACTTCCGTCAGTTCTCATCTGCCGCGCCAGATCTTTAGACTTCTTCTAAGCAAACAATTTTCGAATTATTTTTGTCAAAAACAAGAAGAAAAACAAGCAAAAAAGACAAGATATGACACTTCCCCAGCCTTCAATAGAAATTTTTATCTACTCAACTATTTAAATGAACAATACTGCTGGTATCAGTTTCAAGTACCGAATGATCAGACTGGGTTTTGGCGTGGGTCGTTAATGGAATAATTCATCTCTTTCAATCGCCATTATTTTCCGTTATTGAACATACCAAGCGAAGCAACAGCAAAACAATGCCTTTTGGAACAAAATTTTCCTTGTTTACAAACGAAAAACAAAATATATGAATTGTTATTTGCTAAAATCTAGCAAAATCGAAGAACAAACACCAATCGTTGAAAAACCTTTTAAAAAACTGAAACTAGTCAAAAAGATAGTTTTGAAAGTCAATAATTTGAAACTATAAAGTCAATAAATCGAAGCACAGTTTTTGTGAAAGCCGAATCAAGCAAATCACTAAGCCTGCCATTAGGTATCATCAATTGGGTTCTTCCAAAAGTTCTGATCTCTATATTTTAAGGAGCCTGTAGTTATCGTTAAATTAATTCCATTGAAATACAAGCGCTGAGCCAGCAGTTTGTTTAAGCAAAAAAGAAAATTTGTTCAAAAAGCACAAATCATTCTCTGCCATTTCTTACCGCAGATGAAGGAACAATCAGAAATTATAATTTATAAATATTTAAAAGTAACTAAAAAATTGTTAAGGTTTCAAAAAAGCATTGTCACATTGTATTAATTTTAAAAAAATCTCAAACATTGTAAGCTTTATGAAGTCGTTCCAAAAAAGCAATATTCAAATCAACAAAACAAAAGACTCCAATATTATGTTTTTATAAAATCGTACACTAGCTTCAAGGCTCTAGTCTTTCCCCTGAAAGAAGATCTCGTTTTGAACTTCAGAAATAGTGCTGAGCCTCAGCTAAAACAATTTTAGAGACGATTCGTCATCATTCACGAAATGATTGCTCAATGATGCCTAAAGTTATCTGGCTCTTAACACATTCTGATTTCTGTAATATAGCTTAAAGTTACTCTGATGTTTCGTTTGATTGTTCGGACCATTGAAAATGGGGAGGAAATATGTAAATGGGTGTGTTTTAGTTTTTTTTCTAAGCAAAACCAGGTACCACAAATATTCATCGGATTTGGTCGAAACCGAAAATGGCAATAAAAAACTCGAGTAAAACAAAAACTTGCCCAAAAAAATCAACAATCACGGCTTACCTTTCTATTAAAAACATGCTCGCTTCCTTTTATCTCTCGAAAATGGACTAAAACTTCAAACCGGTTTGTCTCAGCACTGGGACAAATTTTTGAAAAGTTTTTAAGGTCGTTCGAGTCAGAACTGAAAGGGCTTCAATATGATAAATCACTCCACCCATTAGGTTGACTAAATCTGGAAAACCTCTTCGCTCACCTCATTCGTTCAAAATTCAACCAAAAATCAAAAATTTCAAACAGGTTTTTCTCGACTCTGAGACAGTTTTGCGAAAGTTTTCAAATGTCGGTCGAATCACGAAGGTAAGAGCTTTGTTTAACAAACTAAAACCCTTACATTCGTGATTTGAACGACATTAATAATTTTTTTAAGTTTACTCGATCGTGTAAAAAAGTTTTTTGAAGCTTTTTATTACCAATTTCGAAAAAAAGAAAACTTCAAAAAATTGAAAACATTTTTTTTTGAATTTTTATTTTTTTATAGTCATTTTTTGGCAAAACTTGTTGCTCAATTTGCTTATTTTAGTGTGACTCTCAAACAAAAAAACACTCATTCCAAAATGTAAATTTTTATAAGTATTTCAGGTATTTTAGGTATTTCTTCAAAGAATATGTTCGAAACATTCTGTGCTGGAGGCTGTTTCTTCAGTTTTTCTGCCCCATATTTATTAAAGTAGTTGTCTTTTTTGCAATGGCTAGATAAAATTAGTCCGTCTTTAAATAAAGGAACGGTGAAATTCTACAGAATGTCCACGTTGCTCTGCTCATCCAATTTTTGGCAAAAAAATTTCAAATTCGTTTAAACAGCTCAAAAAGAATAGCAGTGATGTTTCTAGAAGTTGTCTGGATTTTTGTTGTTTTTGTACCGATCTCAGACTTATTTGCATAGCAAGTTGATCAAGATTTTTGGTCGTTTCGCGCTGTGTGACTATGAAGAAACAAAAAAAAATAAAGTCAAGGCGAAGCGGAACCGGAGTCAAACTGATTCTTTCCTGTTTAAAAACCTTTCGCCTTAACTACCTCGCCAACATAAAATTAAGCCGCAATCACATCGTTCAAATTAAACGTATATAGTTATTTCGTTTTAAAATAGCCTAACAAACTTTAAATTGTATTCAGAAACTGTACTCATTAATGAGAAACTTCTGCCAAAAAAAGTTGCCCGCTAGCAATACCTGGGTAAAGTTAAGAAAATACGAAATTTGCATTTCTCAAACACAAGCTCGAAAAGGGCAAAAAGTAGCTCTGAAAAACTCAAAAAACGAAAGGAAAGAACAGGTTAAACTAATAGAAATTCTGTTAAACACCGGAATAGAGCCCTAAATTTGTTATTAAACGTCTCACATCCTTACATCTGCTAGAACGGGTGGCTTTTAAGGGCCGCTGAACGAAATCATTTAATAGGGGCCCAGCTCAAAGTAGAGATACCTGTTTAAAAAAAATCAAATTAATGTATAATTTTAAAAAGGTGTCAAGTTGTCAAAAATAAGACATTTACCAAGTTCATAGACCAAAAGTACAAAAAACACGCCTTCGCAGAAGAGATTAAAACGTTTTGCTTTGATTACTTTCTTTTTTTAGTATTGGTGTATTGGTGTATTTTAGTATTGGTGTATTTAAATTTTAGTATTGGTTTGGCAAATTGAACAAAGTCCAAAATTGAGTCAAGAGGCTAAATATTTTTAAGTCCATAGCAGAATCCTAATAACAAATAAGAAAAATTTGTCTATGCAGGGGATACCCTTAAACCTTGTTTTTTCAATTGAACCCTTAATCTTAGATTTGGCAGAAAAATTTTCGAAACACTGAGAACATTTTAAACTTGTACGTTTCTTAAATGCAGCATCTCTTGACTACAAAAATAAGGAAGTGGCTGCTTATAAAAAAAAAATTTCGGCACAGATGCGAAGCTTCGCTTCGCAAACACTAGCGAGAACACGACAAAAAAGCAGTTTTATAAAATGCAATAAAAAAAGTAGAAATAAGCCTCGAATTAGCAAAACTTCTTCTACGTCTGAGATTCGAACCTGCGACCTAAAGATTAAAGGTATCATACCCTAACCACGAAAACTTAATAGCTAATAGTCAAATACTAGTCACAAATAAAGCAGAGAACAGATGATATGCTTTTTCCAATGCTACAGTGAAATTTCCAAATGAGTGAACTTTTTTATTTGCGAGTTAGGTTAGAAAAAAATGGTTCGTAACAATACACTAAGGTGACGCAAGTGTAATTGCCTGATTTTTGGATAAAACCTATAATCTCAGATTTGGCCAAAAGTATAAAAAAAATCTAGAAATGTGAGCGTAGCTGCTCATGCAGAGGAGATCCTCAGAACACGCCTATTTGATTGAAGTCAGCATTTGATGGGGCACTGTGAATTTCGAGAAAATGAAAATATTCCATAAACTGGGCTAAAAACTTCCCATTGAAATTTTTGAAGGTCTTAAAACGTCCCATGAAGTAAAAAGAGACTAGCTCAAGATACAGGCACGAAAGTTTTCAAAACCGACTCAAAAAATAGTTTAAAAAATCAGATCCCGCATATTTTTATTATACTTTTATTAACAAACAAAAAAAGAACTAGCAACCAATAAATCAGATACAGATATATAAAGGTATGGAGCAAAAGTAAAACAGATATAAGAATTCAAAAAAGCCACCAAATAATGAGCCTTTTTATTTGCGACTGAGGTTGGAAAAAAGGGGATACCAGAATATGACACTACGCTCAGCTTGCGTAATTAAGAACAATTGAATGGTATTGCTCCATTGATATGAACTCTAACTTGATTGAATAGGTAGCATCGATGGATGTACGCTACTATGGTTAGTAGGAAGAAGAGACAGGCGAATGAGATGACGATGTAGGAGAGCACTTCAACTGCCATGATAGTGTGGGACTCATCCCCAACTACTTTAGCCACGGAGAGATCCACCGGGAACAGCTGAACAGAGACACCACCTTTTTTAGCTTTTAAATTTCTCGGTTGTTCAAAAAAATTTTCGGCTTTATTTGAAATTTTAAAAGCGTTTTAAAGCTTTTGACTTTTTTCAAAAAAGAAAAAGAAGACAATCTCTTGTATTAAAATAAATGTTGGGGAACCGTTTCAAAATAAGCCTTTCGTTTTACTAAGCACTTTCCGTTTTCCTAAAAACAATTCATACCCTAACTAAGATAAACAGGTTCCTTATCTCAGGTCGGTCATAATGAAATATCCAAGTCTTGGGTAGGTTGTTTTTACCATTAGAAAATTTACCTGTTCAGCCCAGAATAGGGGTACTATGTAGGTCCAGTTGCATGGTAGGTGTTCCATGCTCTCAACTCCCGCGAAGCTAGTCAGCTCAGTGTTCATTTGCAGTCTCTTCGCAGATGTCAACAACACTCCCGTCTTCTGAAAGAAGAAACCGAACATTTTCACTCAGTCAAGGACTGATGTATAATTTTTCTTAAATGTTTCATTTTTTTTTCATTTTTCTACAATGAGGAAACTTTTTTTTTGTATGAATGACAAATGACGGCTGTCTTTGAATGTTGTAAAATCTCCAAGTTTTAAAAGTTCGTTAGTTTTCAGAGCTAATTAAAATGATAGTAGCCCTTTCTTCAGAAAAATAAAATAGGTTGAAAACAAGCTTGCCCTTGAATTATTTAATGGAAAAATATACGTATACACAGTAGCGGATTTAGGGGGGACGGGGGGGACGCGGGGCGGACGCCTTTCTTTTAGAGATTCGAACCCCCTGCCGACCCAAAGGGTCCGCCCTTTGTACTATTTTGAGATATCCCTTTTTGGCTGACTGCCACTTAAATTTTTCTAAAGGCGCCTTCGGTGCCAAAATATACTAATTTTGAGAGGGGAGCGCGCGCCGAAAAAAACGCGATTTTCGCTCGAAACTCCCCTCGAAAAAATCCTAGATCCGCGCCTGCGTATACAGTATTTAACTCACAAGGATCGCGCACTTATTTACTCCGATGATCCATGTTAATCTGAATTTGAACTCACCCTATTAATGTTGAGATGTGTGCCGTGTTCTTTTTCATTTGGCTGCAGTCCTCTCACTGATTGCACGGTGCTGTTGTCTGCGTAGAGGAATTCAGGGGCTGATATGATCAAGGAAGGAGTCATGCTCTTCCAGTTGAGGTCAAGTCCAAACGCCGAGGCTACAAGTCACGACACTTTTGAATTAAGTTCAGAGACTGAAAACTGTTATATAATTGAGATTTGCCGAGATTTAAAGGACAAAACTAGATTGTTCGTAATAGTGAATTGATTGATTAGTTGCTTTGATTCTTAGTTACTTGAGATTTAGTTAGTCAGACTTTGACTAAATGAAATAGAACAAATAGAGATTGAATAAACTTTACATCTAACAACGATGTATACAAAACATAAGAGTGATCACACACAGTGTGTCGCTCGGTAAGGCCAATCCGGTGACCTTGAGCAGACTGGTAAATAACTATGCAGCGTGGCTGCAAAAGACAGCAAAATAAATGAGGTACTAAATGTCGCCTCATCACATTCCCCGCGGAAGGGAAAATTTTTGGGGAACCCAAAAATTGTTTAATACATAAATAAATAGACAGCACCCCTAAGCATTATTTTAGATAGCACCCCTATCCCGTAAAATGCATGGTGAAAAGAATAATGTTTAAATACGAAGTTTTGTTAAAAGTTTGAGAGTGAGTGTTTTTTTTTTCGATCTTCAGATTTCGTCCTGAGCTTTAACTGGCGAGGATGAAAATGACGCCTCCGGAGAAGTTAAGTGTAAACGGTCCCGAACAAGAGGTTTACGTTTAGGTGACGTGGAGGATGATGGCACTGAAGTGTCTTTTGCGTATGTCTTGGAAGATGGTATAATACTTGTAGAGGATGATGGCACTGAAGCGTCTTTTGCGTATGTCTTGGAAGATGGTACAATACTTGTAGAGAATGACAAGTCGGCTTCTTTTCCTAATGATTTGGCTTCTTCCACCGATTTGACCGAGTGCCGTAACGGGTCGCCAAAAAATCTTGTGGCCTTTTTGTTTCGAGATGAGGCCCGAGTGCCTTCCAGATCATCCGTAGTCGGTTGAGCTGGGAGAGAAAGAGAAGGGAGCGACGAATATTGGTCTGCCTGGGCGCCTTTTCCTTGGACAATAGGACTCTCGGAATCAACCACGTCCAGTGGTACTTGATGCGAACCAGCAACCCAAGTTGTGGACTCAGCAGGCTGAATGGTGAGCGGGGGGTCGACACTAGTAACCATAGAAGATGGGCCCGGTGTGAGGGACGAGCTGCCAAACGTAACCGGTTGTGATTCGTCCTGTAGCCGTAATCGCTTTTCCATCGGAGTAGATGTCCGAGTTTCATGCAAAGCGTGCTGAACGGGAGGGCTCTCACTAGATGAATCCGCAGTAAGGTCCACCACCGCCGGGTATGACGCGCTCGTGTTAGCTGGCCGTTTTTCGAGCAATTTTGGGTTAGATGCGCGAGTAAATGGTTTCTTCCCCCCACTTTTTGAAGATGAAGTTTGGAGCCGATCCCCTAGTGTGTTGTATGTTGCTGAAATGTTATTATAATTAGGCTTAAGACAGACATGATTTTTCCGATACACCTTTCCCTTGTCGGTAACATATGTATGATCGGTGACACGAGTAATTTTGAATTTCGCGAGTTTAAAAAGAGGTTTGCCAGACTGACGATCTATAATTTTTCTGAACACTCTCACACGTGTAGGATCGGATAAAAGGAGAGTTTCTAGTTTACTTGTCTTAGACTGTCGACGGGGCTGAAGTGTCGGTAGACGGCGAACAGTATCTTGGGCCTCTGGAGGCGTATTGATTGACCGGTCTTCCGCAAAGTATAGTGTTTTGCGAGAGAGGCCTGTTTTTAGTGACTGAGCCAGATCCGAATGGCGACTCGACAGCTCCTGTAGCACCCGTTTTCCCCCATCTGGTGGAAGATTTCTTTGCTGTTGAGACCAGTTATTAGCCGCCCGGGCAAGATCGGCCAGCGCCTTGTACGGCGCACTGTCGGCAATGTTTCCCTCCAGAGAGAACATTGGGTTGAACCGTGGGGAAATCTGAGGACTGAGACTGCCTCTTGGCACCACTTTGGCACGATCTCGACTATAGTCCTGACTGGCAATTTGATCCGGCGTCAAGAGGTTGCGTTCAAGTCGTTGTGCTGAAGTATCAGAATTAACTATATTATGAAAAGCTTGTGACCATTCAGTATTGGGTTTACGTCCGAAGTGCATTTCAAAAGGTGACTTCTTAAGTGTAGAATGATTGCTTTTACGGATATCTTCTATAATTCGATAGAGTACTTCTTTCAAGTTACCGAAAGTAGGATCCAGTTGTTCAGTGCCTAACTTGCGTTTTATTGTTTGTATCGTACGTTCGACGAGGCCAGAGCCCCGATGGTCTCCGACTGGGGAAAAGATGTGTTTGATACCTTTACTAGAACAGAATTGTTGTAATTTTTCGTTTTTAAAACCGGAGCCATGATCAGTCCTGATAGAATGAGGTAAGCCATGAATTCGGATATAAGATTCAAGAAATTTCGTAACCTTTTTAGCCCCAGTAGTTTTTGTAATAAGTACAGAAGGAAATTTCAAGAAACGATCGATAGCTACCAAGAGGAATATTTTTACGCCTCTATCATCTACAATAGGACCGGCAAAATCTAACTGTAACTCCTGATTAGGCCCCGTTAACAAGGGCAAAGATTGAGCGGTATGAAAAGTCTTGACGGGCTTTAAGTTCTTACCATACAACGTGCATTCGCGGCATCTTTCGCAGGTGTCGACTATCTGCCGATTCATAAATGGCCACCAAATGTATTCAGAGGCTGACATCATGGCCTCTTGACCCGGGTGCGACCGATGAAGGCGGGCAAGAACAGCTGGTCTCAGGACTTCTGGGATGGCCAGTTTGTTGTCAATTATCACACAGTTGTTGACAACCGCTGCTTTCGACCAGAATTGGGCCATGTAGGTTCCGAGTTTGTTAAAACTGGAAACGTCTTTGTTTTTGATGGCCCGTTTCATCGGACCCAGAAATCTATCTTCTTCTGTGAGCTCGGCTAGCAAGTCAGCGTCGAATAATCCCGGTAGTCCCACAATTTCTTTCTTGGACTTGGAGATGATAGGCTTTCCACCATTGATTGCATACACGCCAACTTTATCAGCAGAATGAGCTCTGCCCGGTCTTGACAATCGGCACTTCCGCATAGCCTCCAAAAGCTGGTTGTGTCCCTCCCTTCTGGAGACAGTCCTGGCAGCAACAAATCGGGTTTTCGCCGCACGCTCTCTGGTCCGATTGCGTTGACGTACCTGGTCCAGTCGTGAGATTCGTCCTACTTGACGAGATCTTACTGAAGGGCGCGGGCTCGGCCGTCGAAAATTAGGTGAACTCAATGTGAAGTTTTCGACAAAAGAGAGGAGTTCTGCTTGTTCCTCCATTGTGCTATGTGATGAGTGTTGTATCGGATTGTGAGCTGGTTGAGTAGTTGGTTTGTCGTTAGTATGTTCAAGAGCGGAATGTGGTAGTGAAGTAGGTTTTGAGGGATTCATGTTGTTGTAGATAGAGAAGTGAGATAAAAGAGAATTAGTAGAATGAGTTAAAGATGAGAAGAAAGAGTTGCGACTATCTTTTAACAATTCAGGTCGGAGACAATGAATTGAAGCGAGCGAATTTGGTTTGCGATTATTAATTAGCATACCGGTTTCTGATTGGTCAATTCTGCAACAACATGACTCGACGCCCTCACGCGGTGAGAGACCGAACGCGCGAATTTGCATAACGTGATTTGATTGGTCGAGAAAACACTTTGATTTATGAATTTGAGGCACATCGACCTCTTGCGACGAAGAACATAACTTACTAGACGAGTCAAGTATATTAAATGTATTTATAAATGATAAGGCCGAATTGAATGCCTCAATAGACTTTACAACAAAAAGTTCATCGTAGATTGATGGCGCTGGAGCTGGGAAGGTTGGATGTCGAGACAGATAATCCACAATGCCTAAAGTAACCCCAGGCACGTGAATAACTTCGAAATCGAATGGTAATAACCGGTCCGCCCAACGTGAAAGACGCGACTGATAGGATTTGTTATTATAATTTTCACTCAATGCCGAAATAATGGCTTTGTGGTCGGTTAATACTTGAAAACGATTGCCCAATAAATAAGTACGAAAATGTTCGCACGCCCAAACGATTGCCAACAACTCAAGTTCATTCGTACTATATTTTGTCTCAGCATTATTGAGAAAGCGTGAGGCAAACGCGGTTGGGGCCTAAACTCCTGGTTCGATCTCCTGTTCCAAACATGCCCCTAACCCGTTATGACTAGCGTCACATTTCACCCGAGAACTTTTTGAAGAGTCATAATGGAATAAATTGGGAATATTAGCCAACATATTTATGATACTCTTGAAGGCGCTATCTTGTTCCTCCCCCCACCGAAAAGACTGTTTGTTACATGCCTTTAGAGATTCTCGGAAATGAACGGTATATGTGTGTAGATCAGGTATGAATCGTTGTAAGTGATTTAACGTCCCCATAAACGAGCGGAGCTGCTTTAAGGTTTTGGGAGGTTTAAGTGATCGAATCGCATCAATCTTTGAAAATTTCGGGCAGTACCCGTGCTCATTTATGACATAACCTAGCCATGTTAATTGGTTTACTGAGAACTCGCACTTACTGAGTTTCAATGCCCAGCCTTCTGCGTCGAGTCGCTGCATCACTCTTTCAACCAAGTCATTATGTGCTTGAACGTCTCCTTTCGTGACTACTAGAATGTCGTCGAGGTAGCAAACCACACCTTCTAATCCTTGCAAGGTACAATCCATCACCTTCTGAAACTCGGTTGGCATATCGGTCAACCCATAGAACCCTGTCTTAAACCGATAGGTTCCCGTAGCATCTCCGCATAAAATATTGAAATTACAATGATTGCTGGTGGCTGAAGACAATGGCAGCTGGCTGAAAGCATATTTCAAGTCTAACGAGGTGAACCAAACGGTGCCTGGTACATCTTTAGTGATTATTTGAGCCACAGAATCAACAAGCTCGTGAATATTTGGCATCTGGTACTTGTTCTTCCAGATTTGCGCATTCATCGGTTTAGCATTTAAAGCAAGTTTTATCGAGCCGTCCTTCTTGGCAGTCAGTACAATGGGTGCTATGAAATAGTGAGTTGTGCATTTGTCCAGTTTCTCAATGTGACCTTGTTTTACCAACTGTTTGATTTCGTTAGCGACTCTGTCCTGGATGTGAATTGGGACTTTACGTCCCTTAACCTGACGTGGTACCAGTGGATACTTGAAGTTTGTAAACACTTTGTGGTTCTTTGATCTTCCTAATCGATTAAATACGTGCGCGTATTTTTTAGCGAAGAAAGAACTCCAATAATCGGAGACAGGATCCTGGCTCAGAACCTCAAGTTGCTGAACGTGTTCTGCCTTCAGTTGGGTGGTCACTATTCCCAATTGGTCTTGTAAGTCCAAACCCAACAGGTTTCTTGTTCTGTTCTCCGAGACAAGGAAGCAAGCCTCTTCCACTCTCCAACCACTAGACGAGATCGGTAGACAAACTGAGCCGAGAAGGCGGATTGGTTTTTTATTGTAATCAACATACAGAGTGTCTATAGGATTCCGTGCTACGTCTCGAAATTTGAACGACGGGTTGCGCTGTAATATCAAATTGCAAGTCCGTTTATTAATGAATGAGACAGGACTTCCAGTGTCGATGGTTGAGTAGAAGAAGCTCGAACCCGTACGCAGCTGGATACTGAGACTTCTCGGCTTCCCTTTGTTTGATTTGAGAAGCTCAACGCTATCAATCCTAACAGCACTTTCAAGTTGTAGCACACTGTATTCGGGTTCGCTATCATAGTCTGCATCAATGAAGTTACAGTCAATTGAGGGGTCAGTCACTTCCTCACTATCATCGACCAAATTGACGCGACGTCTTGACGAGTTACAGCATTTAGCAAAATGACCTCGTTTTTTGCAAAGATTGCAGGTAACCTCTCGAGCGGGACACGACTTTCTGTGTTCCGGGCTAAAAGGGTTGCCACAGAAATAACATGCTTTGTTGCCTTTGTTACTTTGTATATTTGGTCGATTAGAGTTGTTCTGAGGAGTATTCCGCTTTCCTCTAGATGACTGTATTGAGAAAGTGGGTTCTTGTTTTATCTTGACATTTCCAGTGACTTGGTTATGTGGGAGTAGTTTTTGGAACTGGGCCGATGTACTAGCCCCTTTTTCGCATTCGAGAGCGAGTTGGAATGTATCGTCTAAATCTGCTTTTGCCTTAATCAGCTGCTGTTGCACATCCACATCACGAATTCGTCCTATGAAAAGATCTTTCAGGGTATCCCTCTCTTGAGCACGTGGCCAATTACACAAGGCAATTTGAGCACTGAGGCGAGCGTAGAATGAAGAAAAGGTGTCATTTTCCAACATAAAGATATTGTTGTACAGTTTAATGCGCTCGACAGTATAATCGCGTTCTATCTTGAATAGTGTTTCGCAGGCTTTGTGGAAATCACGGAAAGGAGTGACACTGATGTCCGTATGCGGGTAGGAATCCGCGAAGCGTCGTTTCCCTTCGTTTCCTAGAGCGAAAAACAACCGTGACTTCAGCCGGGCTTCTGCTTCGTGATAGAACCAGTTGAGGCCTATTCTGGGGCCTTTCCTTCTGCGCTCGGCATTGTATTCGGCCATGCGGCGAACTGCTGCCTGATCTCTGAGGAGGCGTGCATCGGCCTCCGCAGCTGTTTCCGTCGCTCCTATGATCTCAGCTTTTGGAGGTGGTTCATCGATGACCTCCGTGGGTTCTGCTAATAACTCCTGAGGGTTCAGGTTATCTTTTAACCCCACCGCCAGGAAGAACTGTCCAATCCAAGATTCCCAAAGGAATGGGGGGTTAATCGAAGGTTTCGCCCAAAAAGGGGGAATACCCAACAGGTCAGTCCTGTTTTCGTTCACAGGAACTGCTGGCTGCGCCATGAGATTTGCCGAGATTTAAAGGACAAAACTAGATTGTTCGTAATAGTGAATTGATTGATTAGTTGCTTTGATTCTTAGTTACTTGAGATTTAGTTAGTCAGACTTTGACTAAATGAAATAGAACAAATAGAGATTGAATAAACTTTACATCTAACAACGATGTATACAAAACATAAGAGTGATCACACACAGTGTGTCGCTCGGTAAGGCCAATCCGGTGACCTTGAGCAGACTGGTAAATAACTATGCAGCGTGGCTGCAAAAGACAGCAAAATAAATGAGGTACTAAATGTCGCCTCATCACAATAATAACTACGCGTCAAGGTACAATTTTTTTTCAACATCTAACTAGCTATAACCATAACAACTTTAATCAGTGCATTTGGAGGCGTTGCGTTTTTTGGCAATACCGCCGGACGTCCCTCTCAAAATAGGTATACATTGGCGCCGATTGCGTTTCAAAAAAGTTTTTAGCGTCGGTTGGCAAAAATGGATGCCATAAAATAGAACCGAAGTGGGAACTCTTTGGGTTTTGAAAGGGCCAAATTCCAGAGGAGAGGGGGTTCATAATTGGCAAGATAAAGAAAAAATGTCAATTTTTCCCACTGACCGTAGCAGTTGGACACGTCAATGAGTCCATTTCCGAGACACTGTTCTCGTTTTCCATCGGGACAGAAGCCAACATTGTCCTCGAAACTTATCTGGAACACTTGAGGACTCAGCGTGAACTTAGTGGTTTTCACGCCTTCAATTTCTTCGTCTGAAATATGCAATCACAAAAAAAACAGATTTCAGATGTTTTTAGAGCACTGTTCAAACTTTGAGGTTTATTTGGTACTTCGGGAAAATATTACTAAAAAATAAGACTAAAAAACAGTTTGCCGTACTCTGGAAGTAATTCGGTGTCTTTACTACATTGCAGTGCAAAAATTGTTTAAATGCTACCAAAAAAAAACAAGATTCGTGCATTTTCAAAGCTCTAAGATTTCATCAAAAATTGGCCACACGCCAAACGCGCATATCTGACCTTGCTGTTTTTCAAAGAAGACACTTCGGCACATCAGTGGCATGAACACATACAATCTCTTATGTTCGGGAACATCATATGGGAAATACTGCCCTGCAGTCCCATTGATCATGTTGCACGACTCTTCCGCCCAGAAGTCGAGTTGCTGGTACCCGTTCCAGTTTAAGATATGGGCTCGTTCGGTGTTTCCATTATCGAAACCAGTGTCGATGGTGAAGCTTCCGTCGTTGGAGTTGTTGGCCTTAAACAAAATTAAGTTTTAGTTTAAGCGTCAACATTTAAGCAAACCTCTTTTACCGATCTTAACCTCTTGGCCGTTTTCGAAATCAGGAAGCATTTAATAACACAAATTACCTTAAACTGTTTAAAAAAAAACTTTTAAAAAACTCGCCATAGGGAGCATCGAGTCTGAAACCGAGAACCTATATCTCAAAAACTCTTGAAGCAAAAAGCCAAGTAGACACAAAATAAAGAAAAAAACTAGCCAAAAGACTGAATGAAGCTGGTATATTCATCTCTTGGAAGTCTGTCTGATCGTTCAATTTGGCGAAGAGCGGGTTCTCTTCGAATCCCCACAAGAAATCTTTAACAGCCACTGTGTAGAATGGATCAACTGCATTTTGTAATTCCGGTTGACTGTCGTCTTTAGAAAACTGATTCAGCTGCTTCAATAGTTTATCGTAAATGTCGTTGTTTTCCGAGAATTTTTTTAGTTGTGATGCAGTTCGTAACAAGGTCTGCGACAAAAAAACAGATGATTCAACAGTTGAGACTTTTTAATTTCACGAGCTGATTAAGTCGTGTCGAGAGTTCCAGGTTTTGACTTGAAAAAATGGTACAGTTGTTGATTTTTTTAGGCGAGCCGTTGTAAGCGATAGTTAAAAATTTTGATACCTTGCTCTTCTATTTGCCTACAATTATTTCGAGCAAATATAATATTTCGAGCAACTTGTAGGTTTTTTTTGCACTAGCTAAATAGCTAATTTGCACCAGATTAAAAGGGTGTCCCACTCATTAACCCCACGATGTTTAACCCCTATGTTTACACCCCCTACTTTATAACCCCGTAACAAGATAACCCTACAACAATTTAACCCCCTTTTAATACCGATAATTTGTTTCAAATTAACTCCTTTTATTAAGGCCTTTTACATCCATGGTAGTATTCCAATAAGGTGTACTAATTGAGGCCAGAAAAGCTATTCTTAATTCACTTCATGCATTTTTGTCGCTCAAAATTAATTGCATTTCGATTAGCTTAAGAAAAAATCCCTCATCCACGCGTTTAAAACAGAGATAACCTACATGGTGAATTGAAGGCAACAAAAGACGTTTGTGAGTTTTATAAAAAATCATACTGCCTATTTCTTTAACCAGTGTTATACCACTCTAACTAAATCTAAAATAAAAGTATCTAGCTTTTAAAAAAAGAAACAGAGAAAGGCGGTTGCAGTGCAAGTAGTCCAGAAAGTTCCTACCACAAAAATATATAAAAAACATATATATTTTTGAAAATTGTAATGTTTTTATTTGTTCGTTCAGCTATGAGAGGATCTGAACAAAAGCCTAGCAAATAGGAATATTTGATAGTAAGAGTAAAATACGCATTACTATTGACAACAGGTTTTTATCAATCAAAAAAATTACACGCGCAAATAATACAATTTTCAAGAAGAAAGCAATAGATGGTACTAGCCTTAAATGCTACTGCTACTTGCACAGCAACTGACTATTCTTGTTCCTAAATTTGTTCTTACAAATAGAGGGAAGTTGGGAACAGTGATTGTCTCGTTCTCCATCGTAGAGGACTTCTCCTCGTCGAACACATAACTGATGTTCTGGATGTACCTCACTTTGGCCTCATTGTCTGAGTAGTTGAGTCCACTCTTCTTTTGATACACACTAAGAATTATCGAAGTTTGACCAAAAGATTCAAGCAATTTAAAAATATCCCAAAAAAATTAGAAAGAAGAGTTTGTTTTTTGCTACTGTGCCACAAACTATTCTATTTTTTTTTCAAAAAGATTTCCATGTATAACTCTCAGACTTGATATCAATTCGTTGTTATTAGGAAAAATATAATTCCAGTTCTAACCGATAGGTGATGTTTCCTATTTCAGTCACGATAGGCTTAGTGTCTTCTCCACTCATGAATTCATCTGCATTTGTGTAGGAGTAAATGTGGAAAACTCTGTACATTTCGAACTTCGGTTCCACCCAGTTGTCAAATACCTGAGAGCCCTGGACTAGAGACTCATGCTAAAAAGAATCAATCGATTTAAAACCAATTGAAGTGCACTAGTATTATTGGCGAATGAATACCAGGCATTCGACTCAAGTGCAGCTTTTGTTCCGAGTTTCGAAAAAAAACTGAATATTTATGCTTGGTAGGGTTTTTTAACTGTCATTTTCTCCGATAGAAATCATACTTTTCAACAAAAAAATTGTATACCTCATTGAAGATATCGACTTTCTGAGTTCAAATTTAAAAAGATATTTTATCTTAAATTATTTCTTTGTAAAGCTCTGGGGTCTGAAAATTGCCAAACTGGCCATGTTCTGGACTAATTTTTGCCCGTTTTGAACATTTTATCCAAGATGATGAAAGCGTAACGCAAACTATTTATGCGTGGCGAGTTATCCCGCTCAACAAAATTCTTCCAAATTGATTTGAGACTAGCTAATTGGTTGTAATAATTGTGTACGACTCAAATTTTGGTTGTATTAATTTTGTACGACCAAAGTATATAATTTTTCAATATTTTATTTTTCGCAAAATCTATTCGATATGGATTAAGAGGTAGTCAGAACATTCAGGCTTTGCCCTGATATACGAGCAGTCTTGGTTTATTCAGAGCAATTTTAATAAAGTTGACTGCGTATGGGAATCGATCCGGATTCACTCTTTGTATTCCGAAGCGAGTATGTTTGCACTAGACTAAAAAGCGGCTTGGCTTCTAGAAAATTATTTTGATATGTTATTTCAATACGCGAATTGTTTATGCGTTGCAATTAATCCGCACTCATAATCGTTCCAAATTGAATTGAGGCAAGCTAATTGGTCTTACTAATTCCATAAATGAATCAAAATTCAACACTTTGATATTATCAGTCTAAAACTCATAGTTTTTCCATATTTTATTAATCCAAAACTCATCGAGACTAATTAATGGGCAGTCGGAACATTCAGGGCTTTGCCCCGATACGAACAATCTTACGATATCTAGGCTCGACACATTTGCGAAGTTGCATTTGGCAAAGACAACCGCAAAACCGACTTGTGTCAGTTGCCTTAACCACTAATCCACTGTTGTTTGGGAAAAGCTACTTTCAGGAACACTCTGTAAGTAACAAAAATTATCGTACGAGGTTTAATCTTTGAATTTTTCGACTACCCTTTAAATTGTGTGAGGTAGATTTTGTTTCAAGAAATTGATAATATTTTGAGTTTGAAAATGATGAATTCATTTTTTTTGAAATTTTTCCGTCCATTAGATCTGCCAAGTACAAAATTATAGTTTTTGCGTCTATTAACAGCATACTTGGATCAAATAGCTTGCCAATACAAAAATTAAAATAATAGATTGCTCGTATATTAAGGTAGATCACTGAGTGTTCCGACTGCTGTAAATTGGTCCTGAATAGTTGTTAGTGAAAAAAAACCATAAAAATTCTTTAGATTTGGACAATATCAAATACCAAATATGAAAAACTTTCGTACAAAAAATATGACCGATTAGTTTGCCTCAGTTCAATTTGCTGCAGATGTTCAGCAAACCATCATACCTACCCACAATCCACCATATCTTGTAGCCGAAAACCCATCAGTATTATGTAACACCTGCATAAAATTAATGACAATCGGATGTTATGTTTCAAGCCAATTTTGGACTCGTTGCAATGGTTATCTCATTTTCGGTTTAACTACCCTTTGGTTGGCTGGCCTACCACCCAATTTGCAGTACACTTTTTGAATTATAATTAAAATATTCAAAGCGCGCAACAATTAGTCAGAGCATGGCCAAGTTGCCAATTTTCAAACCCGCAGAACGTTACAAAAATGATCGGAGGTAAAGTATACCTTTAACGGAGTGAATATCTTCAATGAGGTATAAAAAACTGTTTGTTAAAAACTACTATTTCAACCGCTGAAAAATGGCTGAATGAAAAAAGAAAGCACCCGAAGCATAAATTCCGTCACTTTCTACGAAAGTCAGAACAAAAACAGCAAAAACTGTCGACTATACAATTTCCGAACGATTGCCAATTGAGCCATGATTGCGCTTAAAATATTACGAAAAAATTGATGCTTATCGAAACTACAATATAGAAACTAAACTACATAAAAATTTTGAGCGCGAAAACTGAACACAGAAAGTTGCGAACTGAGTCAGAAAAAATGAACTGATCATATGGCACAGGCGTTCATGTATAGAAACAATGAATTGAAAATTTGGCCATGTCTATGATATAAATACAAAGCACCAATTTTTGAAATGTTCAACTGCAGTTACAGAAACCATACTTTCAATTAGAGAGTTTCTACGACTTAGCGGTTTTGCGAAACTTCTTTTGTAGAAAATGATTGTTTTTATTAGGCCGACTAAACTGATTTTCCGTGCTCTCCTAAAACCCTATAAAGAACCAATTTTGCCAAAAAAAGCGTGTGCCACAGACGAATTGTTGTGTATATTGGACCCAAAAAAAAACGAGATAATTAAATGAAAACCTTTAAGATAAGAACAAAAAATAAACTTGCTTGGTTACTTAAATTGCTCATTGCTTATTACTTAGTTTTTATTTTTTTTTTCATATTAAGTTTGAAGCAGTCGTTTTCTACTGGTGGGGGACCATAGAAAAACCATAGTCTTAACTATCTTTACCTGCATCATTTTAGGCACATACTCGAACCGTAGCACTATGCCGATACCCAGCAAGCCGAGAGTGGCTACAGGTAGACATAACAAGACCCCATTGCCCATTACAGATCGGTTTGTACTGATAAAGTGGTGAAATTGTGCTCTTTTTTTTTAGAAACCAAGATTATTTGAAATTTGAAACAATTAGGAAAGTGTGCTCTTTCTATTTAGAAATCAGGATTAATACAAAATTGAAAAAATTATAAAAGTATCAAAAGGTATGATTCTCTTGACTGCTTAAATTTCGAAATCAATGGCTTGTCAATCAGTATTTCTATAAACAGTTATTAACTAACTAGTTGTAAGCAATCATTGGAAGATGCCGTGAGTGCAAGATATGCGACTATTGTATCAAACTTCCGGTTTTTGTTTTGTTCAAATCTACCTTATTTCGACAATTTTGATTTTGAATGATTTCCTGTTTGCCAAATTTAGGTTTCTCATAACAAAAAGCAATACTTCGATCTTCTATGGCTTCGAATGCTCGTGTCTTGAATCAATATTTTTAAGATTTAGCGACAAACTTTGTAAAAAGACAAAACATAGAAAACGATTACATAAAATTTAGACAAAAGAACTCTACGGACTAAAAAGATCAATAGCTCCATTAATAAAATATACTGCTCAAATAACAAACATAGCCAATGTTTGAATTTCACGTTTGAATGACACTTTTTTAATGTAAAAAACTAACTCAATTTGAGAAAACTGGATCAAAAGGTAATTGTTGTATTCCGTTGGTGAATCTCAAAATTGAAATACACTTTCCTCGTAATCCTCGTTTTTTTTCGTTTCGCTCAATTTGCTTTTTGGTAATTGGAGAGCGTAATTTGCCTTCTTTATAGCAAATGAAATCATTTTTAAAAAAATCAAAATTCAAACCGCGAAGAGTCAAAAATAAACGTGATCGAATTTTAGGATTTATTCCTGAAAAAAAACCACAACCTAACTTCGTTTCTTGACACTTGAAAGGAGCAATCAATCTATACCATGCAATCCTAATGGAAAGAAGTAGAAGAAACTGTAATTTTATCATTATGAACTAGGCTACAGTTCTAATGATAGCTAGGCGCCTGTCATGAGGTAAGGAATGTACAAATTAGTCGTGGCTCCTTCAAATTCTTCGTTTCCCCACTCCAAATTGAAGAAAGTCTTCCAATTCGGATCGTCCTTGTCAAACTCAAACACCTCTTCAGTGCTAGCCACGCTTTCGTCAAACTGCAGTTGTTGTTGTGGGCCTAAAATGAATCTTCTGATAAACATATTTCCCAAAAAAGTAGAAAATTGGGAAAATTAGTTCACACCAATCATTTGGGATTAATTCGCTGAACTTTAGCTGAAAAACAAATATTAAATTAATTGGCAATTCGCAAAAATTAGACTTTCTTTCACATTGAATGCTATATTGGCAATTGTAGATTCATTTACCAGTACTCTGCTGTTGTTGCGTCTCTTCTTTAGACGTTTCATCCTCCAAGATAGTCACTCGACTCGCTTTGCTCAACTTCTTCTTGGGGGTCGCAGAAGGCGCGCGGAATTTCTGCCTCAGCTCCGATATTTCTTCAATAAATCTACAAAAAGCTTATGCTATCCATTAAACACTTATTGATTTGATATAAAGTTATACATAGAACTGTAGTTTAGACTTTTCTATACCAAGCTGGTGAAAAAATAAGACGAAAAAAATGTGAATTTTGTCTGTAACGCAAAAATACAATTTTTTATCTCGGAAAAGGATGTACAAAGAAGAAAATTTAATGTACATAAGAAAATTTAATTAACACTATCAAATCGACCCCAAATAAAAGTCGAGCGAAAATTACTGATCAAAACGTGGATAAAAAACAAAACTTAAGCCTTAAGATAACAAAAATAGAGGATGCAAATCAGCAAAAAAGTGTTAACGAAGGGCTCCCGCACTGGAGTTTCATAGATACTAATCGATTATATTCAATTTTATTGTCAGTCTCTATGAATTCAAAAAAAAAGATTTTAATCGATTTAAAATGAATTTTCAAGGGCGGATCCAGGAGTTTCTCGAGGGGGGGGGGGCAGTTTTTAGCGTTTAGATCACCCGTTTGCCTCCTCCGCCACCCCTCCGTTTACCGTTTACCACTCTCCTCCCCCGCGTTACAACCCCCTTCCACGAGCTTTAACCCCTCTCCCGTTTCCACATTTACGTGGAGGGGGCTGTGCTGTGGTGGAGGGTCTGAAGGGGTGTGTAAACGCGGATGGGGTGGAGGTTGGGGTGAACAGTAATCGTGGGGGAGGGGGAGGGGGAGGTAAATGCAAGGGGGGGGGTTGGGAAAGATAAGGAAAACACGAGAACGGATAGGGGAATGTTAAACATTCAGCTCGCAACAGAAACATGAAGAACTTTTTTCAAAACAGCTATGTTTTTACAGGTACAGGCATCAGACACCCGGGTTGACTAAAAAGAGCTATCTTAGAAAATTTGTTACCAGAGTTTAGCAAATACTTAAAAAATTCCGCTCTAAACATGTTACAAGAAAAATTCTTGTTTTTATAAACAAAAATAAGATAGGATCATTTACACAGAGGCGAAGTTGAACTTCGCAAACACTTGCGAGAACACGACCAAAAAGCAGCTCTATCAAGTGAAATAAAAAAAAGTAGAAATAAGCATCGAATTAGCAAAATCTCGGCTACGTGTCGGAATCCAATATGCGACATAACCACGAATGCTTGAAATCCATAAAAACTAGTCACCAATAACGCAGCTACAGGCTAATAAATTGCCAATTCGATGCAGCAAAAGTAGCACCAAATACAAAAAGACACACTTTTCCATGTAGCAAAAAAACTGGAAAGCATAAAGCCAAATTACGTATCAATTATGCATTTCAAAAAAAGCCAGATACATTGAGTAGGAAAACGTATGGAATCGAGCTTTTTATTATTGTTCTGTTGTTTGAAACCAATAACTTTTTTCGGGTTATTTGATGTATTGAAAATGCATCAGCTGTGTTAAATTTTTACTACTCAAATGTCAAAGCACATATGATATTATACTGCTAGAGCAGCCTACCGATTCAAAAGTGCCACCAAAAATAGCACTTTTCTTTGCGACTTAGTTTAGAAAAAAGAAAGTTCGTACTAATACACTTTGCTTCGCAAGTCTAATTATTAAAAACTCTAAAAAAAGACTTTCTTGCAAAATTTTTATAAAAAGTTGTTTTAGCCGGAAACAAAGTTCTTGACTGTTGCAGAGTCCATTAAAAGAAACATCATAGGCAAATTTACACCCTTTGCCTCTAGAGTTTATCAAATTAAGTGCATTTTGCACGACAATTTGATTGAGAGTTTTGGTCAAACAAATCTAAGCCAAACGTGCAATACATCCGTAGTTACTTGACGATTTTGATCAAAACAATACATTTTTGTCTTATAGAAAGACATTCAAAATATTCAAGAAAGTTTAATTGTGTTTTCTGATTTTAATTATTTTTGTGGAAAAAAATTTCTATCCAAAAATCCAAAACTTGTTTGAAGCAGTTGAAGACAGCTGTAAAACAGGATAAACTTCCTCAAACCCCAAAAGAATTTCTAAAGTGCAGGAATTTTTGTAGGATGGGCAACGCTACATTGACTTCATAACCTCAGCTGCATTGCATAGCTTTGAACTTTTGCACGTGTTCCTACTTTTTGGTCTGTGAAAAAAGTATCTAACGGGAATGAGAAAAGTCTATTACCCGGTTGCAAATTTCTCTTTACTGTAACAAAGGTAACTGGAATTGACAAAGCGATTGATCAGTCGTATTTTTTTCTGAAGATTTTTTTCTGGGTCTTCATTGCTGGAGTACAGTGCTGATTTAAATTATGTGTATAAAACGAACAAAACTTGAAACTGTATACGGGTTTTTCTCAAATTGGGCTAAGATTAGACAAAAATGGAGAATAAAAGTTGCTTAGAATTTAACGAAAATTTTTAGCAAGTAGTTTGCCAAAAAATATCCATTGTCACTTTATAAAACTTAAACTCTTTTCAAACTTTTTTGCATAATATTTTGGGGATTTCACTTTTTTGCTTTTTACTTAAATTTTCTTATATTTTGTTGGGCTGCATAGAAGCAGGCTCCTCCTGATATAATAAGCTCATCAATTATTTCAGTAGTTCTAGCGTAATTCTTGATCAACTAACAAAAGACAAAATACTCAATTTCGGCATAAAATTGTGGTTCCGAATTTCGCCAAACAAATTACCTCATAATAACTTTTTTTTCAATTTCGTGTAATTTTAACCCAATATGAGAAAAATCCGTTTGAATATTCAATTTTTGTTCCTTTTGTCCAGATAATTTAAATAAGCAGCGAATCTAAAAATCTCCAATTGAACTAATCAAAACTTTATGGGTTTGATGTCTTACTGCATTATGTAGCTGGCACACTCCTTGTGTCCATAGACGAGCGCTACGTCATAGGGAGACATACCCCACTTGTCTTTGTGGTGTAAAGGACACTTCACCGCCAGTAGAGTCTAAAACAAAACAAGACTGCACGTATCAGAGCGAAGCTCTGAATGTTCCGACTGCTTATTAAGGTCTATGGAGCAAAAAATGGTATGAAACAATTAAATGTAATGAAACAAAATGAAAAAAAAATGAGTTTTTTTTGAAAATCATCTCCCCACACGCCATATAAAGTACAAAGTGATAGATTTCGCTCCTAGTAACAAACCAATTATGGCAAATAAGCTTCCTTCAACCAATTTGGAACAATTTCTAAGACGGATAAAGTCTCCGCTCACGCGTTAATAGCGCGAAATATATCGCGCGTTAATTGTCCCAAATTGGCCAGAATGGCAATCTTTAAACGCCCATAACTTTACAAAAAATGGTCACTGGTAAAATATATTTTCAATTACGCCTTTGAACGTTTAAGGAGCAGTAATAACCTATAAAAATAAAATGTAATAAAATAAAATAAAAACTTTTTTTTCTAAAATTTGAATGTTTTTTTTTTAACAAAAATCATCCCCCACACGCCATATAAAGTACAAAAGGATAAATTTCGCTCCTTGTAACAAATCAATTATGGCAAATAAGCTTCTTTCAACCAATTTGGAACGATTTCTAAGACGGATTAACTCTCCGCTTACGCGTTAATAGCACGAAATAGATCGCGCGTTTTTTGTCCCAAATTGGCAAATATGGCAATCTTTAAACCCCCGTAACTTTACGAAAAACAATCACAGGTGAAATATCTTTTCAAATTTGAGCTCAAGACATCGATTGATATAAAAAAATTCCGTCAAAAATGGCTAGTTGAAAAGTCGAAATTTGTCTGAAGAAAAAAAACCAACCCCGAGCACAAATATTCCGTTACTTTCTTTAGAAATGACTGACCCTGAGAACTGGTAATTTTCCGGCTTCTGCGGCATAGTGGGCAGCAGTCCATCCCCTGTAGTCTCTTGCATATGGCCACGCCCCATACTCCACGAGCAGGCGTATGCACTCGCTAAATCCTGTCAAGTGCAAGATAATCATCTGAGAAATCCCGAAGGAAAAGCAATCGGAAAAGAATTTAGATATTCTCAACATCAGAAGCACCAAAAGATTCTGCGTTAAGTTAATGCAATCATTGTATTCCTCTGTCGATGTAACTTCATTAGACCCTCCGTTGATTAAAATTTTTCAAAAAGTAGCCATTTTTGGGATATTAGCATATATTTGATACCACTTGTAGAGGAGTAATTGAGTTTTTTAAGGCGAGTGGGTATGTAGTTTATAAGAAGTGTAACTAATAGAACTTCAAACGCCCTTCCTCACCTTTTTGAGCTGCCCAGTGCAGCGCGTGTCTGTATCCCCATTCTTCGTCCCTCGCATTCACGTCATGCTTTCCCTTCTTTACTTCATCTTCTAGTCTGTCGTAGTCATTCTGACACACTAGTTCATGCAGCTCACTCATCGTCGCTTTCAATTGGCCACTTCTTGTTCACGCTTTTGAATGTAATTTGCAAACTTCCCGTTTTTGTGGTAATTTAAGTGTGGTTCCAAATGCTGCTCTTTTTTGTTTTTACCCGCACGCTTTTCTAAACAGATCGCAACCAGTGTTGCGTTCTTGAGTCAGCAAATTGTCTTCTCTTTGCACGCGATCAGTAATAATTTAAAATTTGAAATCAATAACTGGAAGTGTAAACATATATTTGACAAGAAGATTTGAGATCTTATTTAATTCTAAGCTAAATTGAATTTTTGGTATTAATGCTGGTGCTTTTCTAATACTGAGCTTGGTGTATGCGATTTGTTTTGTAACATTTACATTGAAAAAACTGTATGTAGTGCTTATTTTGAGCTTGATTTTTTGATATACTGTTTTTACCAAGCAGGTGCAATGGCTCAAATAAGTCTGCAGTTCATTCATTCATGCGTAATCGCGCTTTACAAAATTGTCTATCATCAGACCGTTTTCAATTTCTAGTGAAAAAACTTTTTTCATTTTCAAGTTTCCTCAATTCTTTTTCATTTGCTCGAAAATTTCATTGTTCCTATTTCTTATCCAAATTTTGAAAAAAAAGAGACGCAATATTTGTGCTCGGGTGATTTTTTCTACACACAAATTACAAATTATTTTTGTTGATTTTTTATACCATCTAATTTTTGTTCACATGCTGAGCTCAAATTTAAAAAGATACTTCAAACCTTCACCTGCGATCAGTTTTTGGAAAATAATTGAGAGAATACATGAAAAATATAAAGTAGATAAGGAAGTAATTAAAAAATATATGCTCGGGGTGATTATTTTCGGAAACCCAGGAGGTGGTGCTTGCACTAGCCTAACTGAGGTTGAAGCTGCGAAAATAATAACCCCGAGCATATATTTTTTAATTACTTCCTTCTCTATTTTATATGTTTCATGTATTGTCTCAATTATTTTCCAACAACTGATCGCAGGTGAAAGTTTGAAGTATCTTTTTAAATTTGAGCTCAGCATGTCAATTCGCTTATTACTTGTAAGTGGCGTATTATCTCATAATAATACGCCTCTACTAATGCGTCATCATAATCGTTCCAAAATGAATTGAGGAAATCTAAAATTTGATCAAATTGATTCCGTATATGACTCAAAATTTCAAAAATTGCACGAGGCGAAAATTTCAAAATTAAATGACTATGATTGAAATCAAATGAAAAAAAAACTTGAAAAAATCTTTTTTGTCAAAAAAAAATTTAAAAAAGTCCAAAATATCCGAACTTAAACTAACTGCACCATTAAATACAGTTTAAAAAGAGCTTTCCGCATGCTAGAAATTCTAACTTTAAAAAACTCCTCTATGTGGGACCAGCAAAAATAAGCAGACACAAAAGTCTAAAATTGCCGAAAATGTCAATTTGCAAATGAACAGGTTCCGACCGGGCTGTGTCGTCTCAAGCATGGGCGTTACAGCAATTTCGAAGAAAGCCTAAACTCCAAAAAAAATTGGGCTGCGGGAACCAAGCCGGCAAAATAGGCCGACAGATGATAACCCGAAAAACCATAGAAAAAGAAGTTTGCAAAAAACAGGTCCCGGTCGAACTCGAACCACAGACCTTGGTCGTCTCAAGCAAGTGTTTTAGCTCTAAGATACATGCACCGGATCGTGGATTGAATTTGAAGTTATAATCAGACACCAAGCTTTCGAAAGAAAACTGAATTTTAAAAAGAAATCAAACAAAAAATAGCTTCTAAGTTTTTCTTTTCTAACTAAAGGTTTTAGCGTCTATAAAAAAGGTGTTTTAAAAACGTGTATGAAAGAAACATCATCGTGTTACTTTCTTCAACTTGATTTTTATAATCAATTGAATGGAATTTAAAAAAAAAACACCCGGCAAAAAGCCGACAAAAATTCGGACGAAATCAATTAAGCCCACACAATTTATCTGAATTTTTTTAACAGTAGATCGAGTAATGCATTAACTCTAGGCACAATTAGTCGTAGTGTTAAAGGTGCAATCTGCTGAAAAAAGAGACCTCAAACTTGGAGATCATACTGTGAGAACAAAGTTGTTTATCGCAAGGATAATAATTTATTAAACACAAAACCGTTCGAAACCAGGTCAGGGGCAGTCAGAACACTCAGGGTTTTACCTTTTGATATACAAGCAGTCTTGTTGGCTTACAGTATGGTTCAAATTTGACGCCGAATTTAACAGACCAGTTCACTGATCAGATAATTCCGTTTTTGGTTAACTGATCTGATCTGCCCATTTCCGATGAGCTAAAACAAAAGATTACCGACCTATCACTTTAATTTGGGCATGCGGTGAATAACAAGGAGGCGGTTCTAATCTAGACAGTGAACTTAATATCGAGAAAAACATACAAAATGAAGGCATTTTGGCAGGTAATAGAACAAATTAGGCAGTAAACGAATAATTGTTTCACACCTCAAAGCGAACAAAAATAAGACTAACTGCTGTAATAAATACGGTTGTAACAATCGGCTAACAATTTTTTTCTAATTGGCTACTTTGATTCTGCTTTGTTTGCTTCACTGTCTCTCATAATTGCGTATCAAATTCACTGTCTGGATCACAACCGTCTCATTGGTGGAATCCCTCATGCGCGAAGGACCGAATGCGCGAAAATAAAATTCAGCCAATCAGATTTCAGTAATCTGAAAGTTGGAAAGGAAGTAAGCATTTCCAGGGACTGGAGTATTAATATTGGCCGAATTTAAAAACGGCAGAAATATGCAAAATCTTCAATTTTCTCATTGACAGCCGCAAAAGTGGGATAAGTTTTACATTTCAAGGGTTTCGTAATGAAAGTATCAAAGTATTGCTTCATTTAATTCATTTTAACCGAATGGCAATTGTTTCTGTTTAAAAATTGACTTTCGGTTAATTTTGCCTTCGCTCCTTGGCCTACAACTTTGTTTCGCCCATTCGCGCATGAGAATAGCCCATTGTCATTCACAGGGCTTCTTGCAGATAATGGTCTGAACTCATTTCATCTGCAGGTTTGTCTCAAAACGAACCGAACTTCATGCAGTGATCAATGCGTTTACTAAATTGAAGACAATTTTTGAGGTTCTGGTTAGGAGCTTAAGGGTTCGAATCGCGTGTACAATCGCATAATTTTCGTTTTCTTCAAATAAACTTTTCTTTTTAAATCAACGGCCACATCTGTTCTTGAATTGTTTGCCGTATTTTTTTTTGTTGTTTGTGTGAAACTCAAAGTCACCTCGCTGTCAAAAAATTACACAAATTAAAACCAAGAACAAATCCTTTCGTTCCAAATAGAAAAACAGCTAGAAGAGAAATAGCTTTACTTCTATCAATGTAACTACACTGGTTTGCAGCAAGGAGGTAACTCAACTTTGGATTTTAATTACGACTGATCTGATTGTCAACAGCTCTGTAAACGATAGACATTTGGGGAGAGGGTTATACCCCTCTTTCAACCGTTCTCGTTTTCCATTGTCGTTTTCCAATTAGTCGTTTTTTTATTGTCAGTTCTAAGTTATGTTCGAGTGCAATTATGATGTTTCGTCAGAAATTGCTCTAATTTACTACACTGATCAACACTGGTCTTGATAGACGTCAAGTCTTAGGTTGCTGACTCTTTGCGTAACTAATGTATTTTTTTTCAGGTCGAAACACTGCGTGTCAGATCTTTTCAATCAGGAAATCAGGCTTATTGACATCAAAAATAACGCGTTTCAAAATTGTGAATTTCAATTAAAGATTGACAGGGGATAACCCAAAAAACCATAGGAAAAAAAGTTTGCAAAAAACAGGTCCCGGTCGAATTCAAACCACAGACCTTGGTCGTCTCAAGCAAGTGTTTTACCTCTAAGATACATGCACCGGATCGTGGATTGAATTTGAAGTTATAATCAGACACAAAGCTTTCGAAAGAAAACTGAATTTTAAAAAGAAATCAAACAAAAAATAGCTTCTAAGTTTTTCTTTTCTAACTAAAGGTTTTAGCGTCTATAAAAAAGGTGTTTTAAAAACGTGTATGAAAAAAACATCATCGTGTTACTTTCTTCGACTTGATTTTTATAATCAATTAAATGGAATTTAAAAAAAAAACACCCGGCAAAAAGCCGACAAAAATTCGGACGAAATCAATTAGCCTACAATTTATCTGAATTTTTTTAACAGTAGATCGAGTAATGCATTAACTCTAGGCACAATTAGTCGTAGTGTTAAATGTGCAACGTGCTGAAAAAAGAGACCTCAAACTTGGAGATCATACTGTGAGAACAAAGTTGTTTATCGCAAGGATAATAATTTATTAAACACAAAACCGTTCGAAACCAGGTCAGGGGCAGTCAGAACACTCAAGGTTTTACCTTTTGATATACAAGCAGTCTTGTTGGCTTACAGTATGGTTCAAATTTGACGCCGAATTTAACAAACCAGTTCACTGATCATATAATTCCGTTTTTGGTTTACTGATCTGATCTGCCCATTTCCGATGAGTTAAAACAAAGGATTACCGACATATCACTTTAATTTGGGCATGCGGTGAATAACAAGGAGGCGGTTCTAATCTAGACAGTGAATTTAATATCGAGAAAAACATACAAAGAGAAGGCATTTTGGCAGGTAATAGAACAAATTAGGCGGTAAACGAATAATTGTTTCACACCTCATAGCGAACAAAAATAAGACTAACTGCTGTAATAAATACGGTTTTAACAATCGGCTAACAATTTTCTTCTAATTGGCTACTTTGATTCTGCTTTGTTTGCTTTACTGTCTCTCATAATTGCGTATCAAATTTACTGTCTGGATCACACCCGTCTCATTGGTGGAATCCCTCATGCGCGAAGGACCGAATGCGCGAAAATAAAATTCAGCCAATCAGATTTCAGTAATCTGAAAGTTGGAAAGGAAGTAAGCATTTCCAGGGACTGGAGTATTAATATTGGCCGAATTTAAAAACGGCAGAAATATGCAAAATTATCAATTTTCTCATTGACAGCCGCAAAAGTGGGATAAATTTTACATTTCAAGGGTTTCGTAATGAAAGTATCAAAGTATTGCTTCATTTAATTCATTTTAACCGAATGGCAATTGTTTCTGTTTAAAAATTGACTTTCGGTTAATTTTGTCTTCGGTCCTTGGCCTACAACTTTTTTTCGCCCATTCGGTCCTTCGCGCATGAGAATAGCCCATTGTCATTCACAGGGCTTCTTGCAGATAATGGTCTGAACTCATTTCATCTGCAGGTTTGTCTCAAAACGAACCGAACTTCATGCAGTGATCAATGCGTTTACTAAATTGAAGACAATTTTTGAGGTTCTGGTTAGGAGCTTA